GTCAATGTCATGAGACAAAGTGTATGTGAACTGCTGTATAGAAAGTGAATTTGCTCTGTAAATTTTCACCCAAATCGCAATTAAAAAAATAAATAAAAATAAATAAATAAATAAAAAGAAATCAAACGACATATTGCATTGGGCAAATCTGCTATAGAAAGTGTTTAAAAGTGTTAGTAAGCAAAGATGTCACCTTGAGGACTAAGGTGCACCTGACCCAAGCCATGGTATTTTTAATCACCTCATATGCATGCAGAAGCTAGACAACGGATAAGGAAGACTAAAGAAGAATTGATGCCTTTGAATTGCGGTGCTGGTAAAGAATATTGAATGTACCATAGGCTGCCAGTAGAATGAACAAATCTGTCTTACAAGTACAGGCAGAACTCTCCTTAGAAAGAAGATGATGAAGCTTTGTCTCACATACTTGAACATATTATCAGGAAGGATATGTACTTGGGACATGTTATCAGAAGGGATCAGTCCCTGAAGAAGGACATCATGCTTGGTAAAGTGGATGGTCAGCATAAAAGAGGAAGATCCTCAATGAGATGGATTGACACAGTTGGTGCAATAATGGGCTCAAACACAGCAATGATTGTGAGGAAGGTGCAGGACTGGCTGGTGTTTCATTCTGTTGTACACAGGACAGCTGTGAGTCAGAATCCACTTGACGGCACCAAACAATAGCAACAATGTGTCACTCATAGGGTTATGGTAAGGACTGAGTCAGCTAAGAACAGTGGGCATCATTATGCACCGTGACTCCAAAACCACAGCCTGAGTTCATTGTTATTAGAACTGAGGGAACCACAGGCATAACCCATCACCTTGCAGGTGAGGCGACTCGAGGCTCAGAGGGTGTAGTGACTGTGATGGGATGGACACTCGTAAGTGGCAGGGACAGAATTTGAACCCAGGGTTCCTGGCTCAGCCTCCTGTGCTTTCCACACATTACCCTGTGCACTGAATGAAATGAGAATTCAGTCAGGACAGATACCTTTCCATCTTCAGGACTGAGGCTACAACCATTGGGGTTGGAGCAAGGTAGCTTTTATTCCACCTTTCTCTTGAGAAGAGCTGGGCAAAGGGCCCAGCAGGGAGTAACAGGTGCCTGAGCCCCCTTCCTCATTCAGTTCTTTGTCTCCCTTTAGCTGTGAGCAGAACTGTGGGCCAGTGAGTGCTGACGAAGACATCATGCTCAGAGTCACAACGGGAGGCGATGCCCCTATGGCCACATTCAGCTGGTATTTAGATGACACTTCACCAGAGAAGGTGAGGACACTGGCTGCTACTCACAAACAGAAAGCTTCCTCCATTTTGACTGACCAGACCTGTGTCCATGCTCAGACTGACTTGGGATGGGTCACTCCACTCAGAGCTCATGGAAGGGGAGTTGGGTAGGGGTGTGCCCTAGAGGAAACCAAAGCATTGTCACAAAGAGAGAATGGATGAACAGGAATGCAAGAAATGGAGAAATGCTATGACAGATGGCAAGTACCCCGGCCAGATCACCTTGACAATGGACCCACCCCCCATTAGTACGGAGCGGCCCTTTGGCCAGTTACTGACAGATACAGGAGTCTAACAGCCCAGCCCCTTGCCTCTGAGTGAGACCATTTCTGTGGTGCAGGTCACCCTCTAGAGCTCCTCATGGGGTCAAGCTGAGGCTGGCACCTCTTGAAAGTACACCTCTGCCTGACTTCATCCTCTGCCCTATTCCTCTCCTTCCACTCCTCTCCTAGTCCCCCGAGACCTGCCCTCAAAAAATGGCCTGCACATGAATCCGTGTCTCAGCTCTGCTTCAGGAAACCCTGGCCTAGGCCCGCCAACCCTAACTAGGCAGGACATTGCCCTCCCAGTGCAGCAGTGCCCACTGTCCATTCCTCAGAGACCAGCGTGATGCCCTGTCTCGTTCCTGAGCCTGACTGTAGCCCCCGGGGCTTTGGTGATGCCTTCTTCCAGGCTGAGCTCCTCCCAGCTGCCTGTACATTCAGAGGATTTTGGCCAAGTTCTCTAAGCCTCCTTCAGAGCAACAGCTCCACCCTGCGTCTGAACAGCTCCTTCCTGAAGTCCTGGGGAGAAGGTGTTCGCATCAGAGCCACAGGTGGGAAGGCCTCCTTACAGAGCCAGTGGGTCTTGAAGGGGAACCAAGACAAATTCAGACTCCCCAAAATGTGGGAAATCAGTGCACATGTTGCTCACGGCCCAGGTACTGTTGTAAAACAGCCTGGATTTGAATGTCACCAATACCACTTCCTACCTGCGCAACTTTAGCAAAAGATTTAACCTCATTGTGCCTCAGTTTACTTACACGTAAACTGGAAATGGTAAAGATGCCAGCCTCCTACCTGCTAATACGAAGAGTGAGTGAGGTAACTCCAGTGGACAGGCAGGCAACTCTGGGTCCCACCAGTCTGTCCTGCCAGAGTAATCCATCGCTTCTCATTTAAACACACCCAGCGTGGGAAATGTAGATTCCCGAGAAGATAAAAAATTCGGGTGATTATTCTTTTTAGAAAGCGTTCCTTTGACTCATTACTTATCCGAGTGGTCCATACACGATCCACACCAGGATCAGCTGTTGTCGTTAGCGGCTGCTGAGTCCGCTCCGACTTGCAGTGAGCTCATGTGCATGAGAATGGGACGTCACCCAGGCCTCCAGCTCTGCACCATCTTCCTCACCGGTATGTCTCAGCCCAGTGTTGCAGCTCTCGTGTTCATACATCCGTTGAGAGTTTCCTTCCTTTTCACTGATGCACTGCTTTTCCAGACATGACGTCCTTTTCTAGCTGTTGAACTTTCCTCATGACACATCCAAGTAAGTGAGCCACAGTCTTGCGATCCTCGCTTCTAAGGAACATTCTGGCTAAAGCATGTTAGCTAGTGCCTCAGGGTAACCTTGGACACTATTTAGAAAGCACACTCCCAAGTCTCCACAAACCTTCTGAATTGAGTCTAGGCCACAGGGATTAGTTTGAATCAATTAAAATTCTCTTCAATTCTAGCTCATTCAGGAGATACCCATTTTTGAAAACCAGGTTATATCAGGCAACAATGGGACATTTTGCAGGTCAACTGGGCCTCTTAGCAGTGCTGTGGGGTCCTGGGAAGAGCACTGGGCTTCCAGGTGGGATCAGCTGGTTTCCAGATTGCAGCCCTGACCCTTAGCTCTGTGATCTTGACCCAGTCATTTTTTTCCCAATAATCTTACTCCTCGGGAAAGCTCTGTGATATATTATTATTAGCTCTGTTTTATGGGTGAGGAACTGACTCCCAAAAAGGTTAAGTTCAACGTCACAAGGCTAGTAAAAGACAGAACTGGGATGCAAGCTCGGGTCAGCCTGATTCTGTTCCTCCATCTGTACTCAGTCTTTCAAAGTGAGACCCCTCAGTCCCTTTGCATCGGGGAGGTTTTTAAATATGGAGGTTTCAAGGTACCACCCTAGAATCTTCCAGGACAGCTTGAGGCTCTGGGTCTTGAGAGGGGCCCAGGAATCTGCATGTTTAATAAGCTCCCAGGTGATCTTGTAGCATGATGGGGTGTGGGTGAACCACACAGCCCCAACCACCATCTGTCTTCACCCCCAGCACTGACCAGGAACACCTATGGGCAAGACACCTATGTGATCAGCACCCTGCCTCCCCCTGAGGTGCCAGCCTGCACCATCACCCCCAAGGAGGGCACTGTCTTAACGAACTTCGCCATTGTGTGCAATGCCTCCACAGCCCTGGACCCAATGGAGTACTGCTTCTGTCTGGAATCAGGTACCCACCCCCAACCCCACCCTGAGGAATGTGCCCTTCCCTCCGCCCCAGGCACATTCTCTTCAAGAACAGAGGCCCAGCTCTCTCCAGGAGCTGCAGAGAGCTTGTTCTCTATGAGAGAGGGGTTTGTAGAATGAGGGCTTCCTTGAATCTTAGCCCGCAGCCCCAAGGCACATCTGCTCTGCAGAGAGGTAAGAAGCTGGAACAGGAAGCAAGGAAGTGGTGACCACACAAAACCGAGGTTTCCATTGCAACTTTTCAGCTCCAGAGCCACATGACTGCACAACATGCAATGGATTAGTGATTCCAATGATGAATGGGTCACGTTTAAGAATACAAAGGACTGTTCCTTGTTCATTCATTCATTTGTCACAACAAACATGTATTGAAAGCCAAGCTCTCATGTCTTTGAGGTGCTGGATGTAAAGCAGCAGACAAAACAGAGCATGTCCTTAACCTCTTCTCTGTCTTTACAGTCTAGCGGTGGAGACAGCTGGTGAACAAAGACCAGACAGAGCACCCAGAGAAGGCCTTTATAAAGGAAGCGACATTGAACTTGGATACATTATAAACTATTTTTGTTGTTGTTGTTAGGTGCTGTTGTGTCATCTCCGACTCATAGCAACCCTGTGTACAATAGAACGAAACACTGCCTGATCCTGTGCCAGCCCCACGATCCTTGCTATACCTGAGACCATCATTGCAGCCACTGTGTCTATCCATCTCGTTGAGGACCTTCCCCTTCTTTGTTGACCCTCCGCTTTACCAATCATGACATAGTTCTCCAGGGAATGGTCCCTTCTGACTATATGACCAAAATAGGTGAGATGAGGTTTGGCTATTCTCGTTTCCAACCGCACTTCTTCCAGGACAGATTTGTTTGTTCTTCTGGCAGTCCATGGTATTTTCAGCATTCTTCACCAACACCACAACTCAAAACCAAAGACTCTTCTTTGGTCTTCCTTATTCATTGTCCAGCTCTCACATGCATATGAGGCGATTGAAAATACCTTGGCTTGTGTCAGGCACACCTTAGTCTTCATGGAGGTATCATTGCTCTTCAGCACTTGAAAGAGGTCTTTTGCTGCAGATTTGCCTAATGCAATACGTCATCTGATATCTTGACTGCTGCTTCCACTGGTGTTGACTGTAGAATCAAGTAACATGAAGTCTTTGACAACTTCAATCTTTTCTGCATTTATCGTGATGCTACTTATATGTCCAGTTGTAAGGATTTTTGTTTTCTTTATATTGAGGTGTAATTCATACTGTAGACTGTATTCTTCAATCTTCATCAGTAAGTGCTTCAAGTCATCCTCACTTTCAGCAAGCAAAGTTGTGTTGTCTGTGTATCACAGGTTGTTAATAAGTCTTCAATCCTGATGGCCATGTCATTCTACTTCATATAGTCCACTTGTCGGATTATATGCTCAGCGTACAGATTGAATAAGTCTGGTGAAAGGATACGACCCTGACACACTCCCTTCTTGAATTTAAACCATGCAGTGTCACCTTGTTCTGCTCAAATGACAGCCTCTTTATCTCTTTACATATTCCTCATGAGCACAATTAAGTATTCTGGAATTCCCATTCTTCTCTCTGTTATCCATAATTTTTTATGATCCACACAATCAAATGCTTTCACATAATCAATAAAACACAAGTAAACATCTTTCTGGTATTCTTTGCTTTGAGCCAAGATCCACCTGACAACTGCAATGATATCCCTTGCTCCATGTCCTCTTGTGAATACACCTTGCATTTCTGGAAGTGCCCTGTCAATATACTGCTGTAACCCTTTTTGAATTATCTTCAGGAAGACTTTACTTGCATCCAATATTAATGATATTGTTTGATAATTTCCACATTCTGTGGGATCACCTTTCTCTGGAATGGGTACAAATATGGATCTCTTCCAGTCAGTTGGCCAGGTAGCTGTCTTCCAAATCTCTTGGCATAACCAAGTGAGTGCCTCCAGCAGGACATCCATTTGTTGAAACATCTCAATGGGTATTCCATCAATTCCTGGAGCCTTGTTTTTTGCCAATTCCTTCAGTGCAGCTTTGACTTCTTCCTTCAGTACCACTGGTTCTTGGTCCTATGCCACCTCCTGAAATGGATGAACATCAACTAGTTCTTTTTGGCACAGTGACTCTGTATATTCCTTCCATTTTCTTTTGATGTTTCCTGCATCATTAAATATATTGTCCTTAGAATAGTTTGATATTACAACTCGAGGCTTAAATTTTTTCCTCAGTTCTTTCAGCTTAAGAAATGCCGAGCGTGTTCTTCCCTTTTGGTTTTCTAACTCCAGGTCTTTGCACATTTATTATAGTAATTGACTTTGTCTTCTCAAGCTGCTCTTTGAAATTTTCTGTTAAGCTCTTTTATCTTATCATTTCTTCCATTTGGTTTAGCTACTCTTCATTCAAGGACAAGTTTCAGTCTCTTCTGACATCCATTGTGGTCTTTCCTTCCTTTCCTGTCTTTTTAATGACCTTTTGCTCTCCTCAAGGATCATGTTCTTGATGTTGTTGTTGTTGTTAGGTGCTGTCGAGTTGTCTCTGACTGATAGCGACCTTATGTACAACAGAACTAAACACTGTCTGGTCCTGTGTCATCCTCACGATACTTGCTATATCTGAACCCATTGTTGCAGCAACTGTGTCAATCCATCTTGTTGAGGGCCTTCCCCTTTTTTGTTGACCCTCTACTTTACCAAGCATGAGATCCTTCTCCAGGGAATGGTTCCTTCTGACATGACCAAAGTAGTTGAGATGAGGTCTGGCCATTCTCGTTTCCAAGGAGCATTCTGGCTGCACTTCTTCCAGGACAGATTTGTTAGTTCTTTTAGCAGTCCATGGTACTCTCAGCATTCTTCACCAACACCACAACTCAAAAGCATGGACTCTTCTTCGGTCTCCCTTATTCATTGTCCAGGTCTCACATGCATAAGAGGTGATTGAAAACACCATGGCTTGAGTTAGGTACATCTTAATGTTCTTGATGTCATCCCACAATTCCTCTGGTTTTTAGTCATTGGTGTTCAATGCATCAAATCTATTCTTTAGATGGTCTCTAAATTCAGGAGGGATATCATCAAGGTTATATTTTGGCTCTCGTGGACTTGTTAATTAATTGTCTTCAACTTCACCTTGAACTTGCATGTGAGCAGTTGATGGTCTATTCCATAGTCAGCTCCTGGCCTTGTTTTGGCTGAAAATGTTGAGCTCTCCATCACCTCTTGACACAGATGTAGTCAATCTGACTCCTGTGTACTCATTCTGGTGAAGTCCACGTGTATAGCCACCATTTGTGTTGTTGAAAAAAGGTATTTGCAATGAATAAGTTGTTGATCTGCAAAATTCTATCAACTGATCTCCAGCATTATTTCTATCACCAAGGCCATATTTTCCAACTACTGGTGAAGGAATTATTTTTAAAAGATTTCATTTAGCACCATGAATTAAAAAACAAAAACCTATAAATGAGGCATTTCCCCGAGATTTTAGTAAAAGTCTTCCAGAGTCAGAGCAGCATGAGGTCACCTCAACAGGACAGTGGGTCAGCATACAGGGTGCCTTCTCCCTGAAGGTGAGGAATCTCAAGGGCCTGCTGCACCTTCTTGAGCTGTGGCTTTTGTGTTCTTGTATCAGTCTCCATTCAGGAGGTTCTGAGGTCTCCCCACGACTTGGAGGCACCCCTCATTGTTTGATTTCCATTTTGCCAGGCTCTTGCCTACACTGTGGCCCTGAACCAGCCCTCCCATCAGTTTATCTGCCACTTGGAAAGGAAAGCAATGCCTTTGTCCTGACAGTGGTCATTTCTGTCACCAACCGTGCAGGCAGCAAGCAGCAGACCCAGGCCACTGTTAAGGTGAGTGTTGGCCATGGCCATTGCATCCTTACTGAGAAAACTTCCTGAGCTGTCTGGAGCTCACCAAGGGGGCGGCTGGGTTGGTGGTGGCTCAGGGCATAGCCAGATGAGTGATTGATTGATTCATTCATTCATCAAATATCTGTAGAGCATCTCCAGTGTTCCAGGCCCTGGGGATAAAACTGAGCACATCAGCCACGGTCTCTGCCTTTATGGGTCTTATGACTTAGTGGCCAGAATAGGAAATCTGAGGAGCAGAAGGACCCAAGCATGAGTTAGGTCAGTGCCTCCAGAATATCCCTAGGAAGGAATGCAGGAAACTATGATCTACCAACAAATCTCCAAGACAGAAGCCTGGATAAATCCTGGAACACTTCATGGTCACAGCCAGGTGCAGTTGGCTGGGATCAAGCACGATCAAGAGAACAGTGTGGTGAAGTGATGACTTGCCCAAGGCTGGTTTTTAGTGGCTGCCAGGTGCCTTAAATGTGCAAGAAGGGCTCAGAAACCCCATACCAGGAATAAAGGACTCCAAGCCTGCTCTGGTCCCCACATGAAGACCTATAACTTCAGCTGTAGGTTCCTGGGCAAGACCTACACTGAACACATTTCTGGTTCCTCTCTTAGGTGGGGCTTGCAGACGCACGTGTGGAGGATGCAGCATTTCAGGCTTCAATGGCAGAGACCATTACTACCACTCTGGAAGGGGAGCGTGGCCCTGAGCAGCTCTTCCAGCTGGCCAAGTCCGTGTCTTCTGTGCTGAACCAGGAGCGTCCAGGGGACGACTTTGGGCAGCCACTGGAAATGGATGCCAGAAAGAAGGTGCTCGAGATGGGCTCCGATTATACCCTTCTAATGGGGCCCCAGGGTCTGTCCATTTGGGCTGAACAGTGAGGTTCAGGCACCAGTGGAGGTGCCATTGGTGTCTCCCAAGTTTGAACATTACCTACCTTTTCTGGACCTTCAGTGAAGGGGAAATTCCTGCTTTGTCAATTACCTGCTTTCTCTGTATACTCTCATGGTGTTGCAAGCTGGCAGGGAACTGAGAGATTGTCCCTCTAGTCCCTTTATGTTAAAGATGACAAAACTGAAGGCCAGAGGAGAGAAGTAACTTGGCCTAGATCATATGGTTAATGGATTGGGGTTGGACCCTAGATATTGTCCCAGTTCTGTTACTTACCATCTGTACTGTTACTAGTCAATGACTGAACTTCTCTAAGTCTCAGCAACCCCACCTTCAAATGCTATAATAATAGCATTTACCTCACAAGGTTGCAGTGAGAGTCAAATAAGAATTACATTAAATGTAACTTCATAAGGTAGAACCTTATGAACCACACGACCCACATGGAACTGCTGACATTCAACCATGGTCACTCTATGTGTTACAACCTAATACTGTTTTGGTCCTCTAGTGCTGTTCTAACAGAAAATACCACAAATGGGTAGCTTTAACAAACAGGAGTTTATTCTCTTACAGTTTAGGAGGCTAGAAGTCCGAGTTTAAAGTGCCAGCTCTAGGGGCTGGGCGAAGGCCCCTTGACTTTGAGGCTTCAGCTCTGCCTCTTGCTCCTGGCCTTCTGGAGCTGGAGGCATCTCTTAACTCAGGTAGCTTCTGGCTGCTGAGGCTGACAAACCCCAGGATGAGAAGTACAGTGGCACAGTTCCAAGAGTATCAAACAACATGGCAGGCCACTAGTTCGAGTCCAGACACAGGGCCAACATGGCAGGCTGCTGAATGAAGACTCAGCTAAATGAAGCTTCCAAGAGTGCCAAAAAACTCAGAGACCATTCTCAAAGCTGTCTTCTTATATACTGGAAGAAGACCACATCCCTAAGGCAGCTACTCAGCTGCTTCAGTAGATTCCACCATGGAGTTGATCACTAGTCTAGAACATTTCCATGAATCCAGATAGTTCCATTGGGCAGCACTCACATTTTACTTACTTTTTTCTGCTGCTGCCAAAGCAAGCTCCTGACCAGTCCCCCAATGGTCCTACATAGTTTAGAAAGCACACACCCCAGAAGATAAGAAGGCCTGGCTCAAGCCAGGGGTGGGAGGATGGGTGGAGGGGAATCATTATCCTTCCCTCACCACAAACACATGAGATCTCCCCTCTACTCTGAAAGTTTTGAATCTCATGCCATTTTGGTCACCACCACAACCAAGGCACTTTTTTCTTTTTTAAACAATGTCAAATTTTAGAGATTTGATTGGAAGGTTTGGAGAAAGCTTGAGATATCCTGTATTAGCTTCCTGTCACTGTTGTAGTAAATTACTGCAAATTTTTCATCTCACAGCTCTGGGGGTCCGAAGTCTGCATGGGTCTAAATTCCAGACCCAAGGACTGGGCTAAAATCCAGGTGTCGCAGGGCTGGGCTCCTTCTGGAGGCTCTGGGGAGAGTCCCTTCCTTGTCTTCTCCAGCTTCTCAAGGCTACCACGTTCCTTGACTCATGGCCCCGCCCCCATCTTCAAAGCCAGCACTGTAGCATCTTCAAACTTCTCAGATCTCTGCCCCTGTCATCACATCTCTGTCTCTGAGCCTGCCTCGCTCTTAGAAGGACACTTGTTATTCCATTTAGGCCCACCTGGATCACTTCCCTATCTTAAGATCCTTAACTTAACCACTTCTGCAAAGTTCCTGTTGTCATGTGGGGTAGTATATTCATGAGTTTGCAGTTTTGAGAATGAAGAAGTGGACATCTTTAGGGAAACACTGTTCTGCTGAGACAAATGAAGGTCTGCAGGACTTTGGAAAACCCCAGAAGAGCCTGATCACCTGCACTGACCACAAATTTTTCTGAAACAGTTTCATCCAGTCACTGGAATTATGTTTACTCTCCTTACCTTCCCCTCACTGTGCCCAGGTCAGAGAGCGTGTGCTGGGGTCTCTGTCTGCCATCACCGGCAACCTGGAGAAAATGCAAAGAGTGCAGAGGCTGGCTGAGGTGCTGAGAGAGGTGACTCAGCACAGTGAAGAGCTCACAGCCTGGGCCCAGGTGAGAACTTCCCACCCACTGAGCCACAGGCCTGCGGAAGAAAGATGAGGCAATCTGCTTCCATAAAGATTTACAGCCTTGGAAGCCCAACGGGGGTTGCTATGAATCAGAATAAACTCAATGGCAGTGAGTTTGCTTTTCAGTTTTGAGCCACATGCACCTCCATGGGGGGAGCATGACAACTAAACCGGGTACATGGTGGGAGAACCCCTCAGTCATGGGGCTTTCTTGGGGCAGCCAAGACCTCTCGTTACTGAGGGTCCTGCATGGTGGTGCCAAGCAAGGGAAAGTGCCCTCCTCTAGTCCCTTGTGTCCCTCTGGCCTATCTGCCTACACAGCTCACCTAGTATGTCCCAGGTACTGTGCAAGTCACTGAGGATTCAGCAGTGAGCCCAAAGACATGGTCCCTGACCTCATGGAACTTTCAGATGACTAGGGCAGCTAGACATTAAACAAATAATACACAAATTCATATATAGTTGCTAAATTAAAATAAATGTTGTGTCCATCTGTCCATCCAACATCTATCTATCCAACCACATGGATCCAACCATCCATTCATCCACCATACATCATTCATTCATTGATCCACCCATCTACTCAACCATCCATGCATCCTACCATCTGTCCATCCATCCACCATCCATTCCCCCTCCCCCCAGTTATCAAATACTACTGAATGCCTACTACATACTATAAGTTATGCAAGGCATTCCGGGAAGGATTCAGAGATGGGCCAACCCTGGCTACTCCTCTGAAGGAACTTACAACTCATAAGGAAGGAGGGTGGGAGGGCCTGACCTCAAGTCAGAAATACAGGCAGCTTCTGTCAAAGCTGTAAATATTCTGGCCTAGCTCTTCCCTGGCTTATGCCCCCCCATCCCCCTCTACTGCAGTCCCTGTTCCTGAAATGGTGCTCCTGAGCAGGGGCTCACAGTGTTTGTCCTTCTCCATTGGGGAGCCCAGTGGGAAGCCAGCCAGGCTCTCCAGCATGCCAGTGAGGCCCTGTTGGCAGCCAGTGCCAGGGCCCATCCTGAGGACCAGAGGCGCCAGTCGGCCACCAGGGACCTCTTTCAGGCTGTGGGCAGCGTGTTGGAGGCTTCTGTGAATGACAGATCAGAAGAGCCCACAGAGGGCAACAGCAGTCAGGTGGGTGTCCCAGCTAAGAGGCTGGTGACTGTGTCAAGTTTCTTTCCTTCAGGCCTTCCATTTCCCACAGAACAAACTCTGGGCTGGGTGGGTGTCAGGGTTAGAAGCAGCAGCAGAGAGAGTCACACGGCGCACCAGCTCAGTGCACAGACTGGAGCCAGATGCCTCTGAGTCCTGGCTCTCCCCCAAACAGCTGTGTGATCTCCACAAGTCACTTGTCCTCTCTGCACCTTGTCTCCTCACCTTCCAAAAGAAGAGTGCCAGGCCCTACCTCTGAGAGTTGCCCTGAAGATGAAAAGTTTCAAGTCAGCGTTTGGAATCTTCCTGTCTCGCTCGTCACATACAGTGATGGTGCAATCACAGTGTCCATCACTGTCTCCCTGCTTCACTCCCCTGCCCTCTCCCAGTCCCCATGGAAGGTGCTGTACTAGCCAGTGACAGTTACCAAGGGTGACACAAGGAGATGGGTCTGTAGCAATGTTCTCCTGCTTCCTCTTGCAGACTGCCACAGTGCCACAGCTGCTCAGAGTGGTGAGGCATGTGCAGATGGCCCTCCTGCTGGGAAGACTGCCTGGGGGCCTGCCAGCCATGCTGGCCACCCCCTCTGTCTCCGTGTATTCAAACAGGTAAATGGGTAAATGGCAGCATTGTGGGTCCCCAAGAAAGCTTGTTCCTGGACCTCACTCATTCTACACACACCTGACACTTTGTGGTCAGCAGAGCCCAGGAGGTGGTCCTGAGGGCAAGGGAAACAATGGGACTTGGAACTGGGAAGGGCTTTTTGGTTACAGAAGGTCTTGTGTCAGCTATCCGTACAACATAGAAAAGAAAACATTGAGTCCCAAGCCCACTGTTAGGCCACCTGAGTCCCAGGAGACGGGTCATGCTGGAGTTGTGCGCACAGGGCCGGCACGGGCATGGCCAGCCTTGCCTTTATAAAACCGGCCCCCGGTGTGTCTAGCCAAACCCACTGCTCTATGGGCCTGTGGGGGTTAAAGTTAGACTTGGTTTAGGAGTTCTGTGCTGGAGTGCCTCTCTCTCACACAGCTGGACCCATATCTGGGGATGCCCTCTGCCCTCCCTTGCTCTTATTGAGAAGCAGGAGCTGGACGATGCTGTAGGCTCCTCTGGGCAGTGTTCCTGGGACCCCTGCACCAAGCACCATCCTTAGTCCCTCTTGCCAGGGTTGCTCTTCTAGGGCCCATGGGCAGTTTCCCCAAACCACCCCTGAAGCTGAATTAGTTCCCCAATCTAAACCAAGGGGGCAAGGTCAAGGGCCAGTAAAGGCAGGGCTGGGAGTCTACAACTTCAGAAGTTCAAAGCAGGTCCAGGAGATAAGCCTAGAGAAATATCTACAACAAAGCTCATTTATTCATTCAACAAAAATATTTACTGACCAACCTACCGAATGCCAGGCACTGTTCTAGGCACTGGAGCACAGCATCAAAAGAAGCTGACAAAAGCCCTGTCCTCGTGGACCTCACAGCCCACACGGGGCATCAGCCACCTTTGATGCTGCTCCTATGGATGCAGCCACATAGAACTTTCTAAAAGATCGCACTGAGCAGCGCACTTTGATGGCAGAGTTGGGGGCTCCCTGTAGTGCAGGAGATCTCGGGACCTTGCTTTAACAGTGACTTTCTTCTTTCTCGGCACTTCTGTTCTCACCTGTGGCCAGAATACAGCCCTGGAGCTGGCCAGGCCCCTCCGTGCACGTCGCTGATGCTAACTCTGCAACCTTCACTCTGCCTGCTGCCTCATTCCTCAGCAACATGGTGGATGGCCGTGAGCCTGTGGACATAAGGGTAACAATACTACTGACTTCCTCAAGTCAGCCCTTTACAGTTTGCAAAGCACTTTCACATGAATTAGCTCATTTATGTTGAAAACAGTTCTGCTGATTCCAAAATATTATAATACCCATTTTATAGATGAGTCACTGGGCCACAGGCAGATTCAATGACTTCCTCAAGGCCTCCAGTAAGTGGCAGAGGTGGGATTCAAACCCAGAGCCTTTGGCTCTCAAATCTAGGCTCTTTTCACTGTGTTGCAGAATTTCTCTGTGGTAGCCTTCATTCAGTCAGTCGTTGGAAATAGCTCTTTGGGTTTAGCCCCACAGCTGGGAAATTGCAAAGGCAGGGTTCCGAGCCTATGCACTTCTCCATCACCAAAGGTGGGCTCATCTTGCTGTCTGGCCTTTGGCTTCCATGTGTGCAGAGGAGCAGCTTTCTCTTAGAGACTTCCTGGTTTTGCAGAAAAGCTCAGACTGCTTTACCATCCAGTGATTGCTCAGTCAAAGCAAGGCTGATTCGGGTGGTGATAAGGCCCAGCTCTCTGAGGCCACAGCCCTAGAGGACGGAGACGGGCCTGGAGAGCCGGCAGCAGCCGAAGGCAGTGCCCATCACTCCTCCCATGGGGTGGGGGCTGCTCTTTGGCCCCACCTTGGGACACCTCACCATTCACATCAGGGCCTTTCATCTTCCAGTCCCTCAGGGGCTTTGCCTAACACTCCTTGCTCTTGGTTTCAGATGATGAGTTTCCCAAGGAGCCCCTTTCCAGCTCACGGTCACTTTGATGTCAGTGGGACTGTTGGTGGCCTCTGTCTGACCAGCCCTAGTGGACAGCTCATACCTGTGAAGGATCTGCGAGGGAATATTGAGGTAGAAGTTGGGGATGTTGTCAGAAGTCAGAAGGTGCTTCTGTCTTCTTCAACTTGGTTGGGACCAGTAATTGGACCTGTGGGCTCAGGACCATGGTCACAGGGGACATCAAGCTCGATTGGCATAACATACTACACAAAAATACTGTTTCACATCCTAATTTGGTGAGTAGTGACTGGTTATGAAAAAAACGGATAAAGAAGGGAACCATCAAAAATTACCCTTACCCTGCTGAGTGAAATAAGTCAATCACAGAAGGACAAGTATTGTATTAGTTCATTACCGTAAAAAGTCAAGGAAAGGCTTATATGTGGAAGGAAACTTTCTTTGTTGGTTTCCAGGGATGGGAGGGGAGGGGAGAGAACACTGCAGGGATTACCTTATGTACACATTTTAACTTAAAACATATGAGTGCACATTCATTAGCCAGATACATAACCAAGAGCTTTTCCTCCGATCTGTTCACTGGAATCTGTTTATTGGAACCATCTTCCTCGCACAAACCCCTCCCATTGTACAGCCTCAACAACGTCCACTTACATTTCCTTTAAGGTTCAGCAAAAACCTAAACGTGCCATCACACAACCTGAGTTCATGTCCCTTCAAGGTTTTTATGGCTCTTCCTCATTTCTGCACTTGGACCAATGACTAACTCAGTACCAATTTCTAGTGATTCATCTGTATTTAGTCTTCTCAAAGCATTCAGCCTAAGTTTTAATCCAAACTACTCTTTTTTTTCACACTCAAACTTTGTCACTTGTGTCATTGTATGAAGTATGTAATTAAAATAGACATTTACAATAACAAGGACAACAGGCTTAAAAAGGGTTGGGGTCAAACACAGTTGCTTATTGGAGAGCACACAACTTAACTAGCAGGAGACATGCCCACGGCTACTGGAGGGAAGGTGTTTCAGGCTGAGTTCTCTGAAGCAGACACTGAGAAAGAGTTTGGGACACAAAATGTTTGCTAGGGATCAAAACCTGGCACGTGGCAAGGATGCAGGATTGGGCAGAGGGAGAGTCAAACTGCCGTGCTGGCCTGACCACACCTCGCACAACCTAAGGCGGAGCTATGGAATATGTGTTGTGATCTGAGCGTCCCACAGCAGGCCACTATGTCAGGGTCTTTGTACCCCTACCCTCAGAAAGGGTGAGTCCTCGGATGAGGTGGGTCTCTGAGTTGAGAGAGACTCTGGAGCCTGTCTACTGACAACACTCCCCACAGTTGGGTAGCAAATCCTTCCTTGAAGGGGGAGCTGGGTGGCACATTTCCAGGTCTACCATAGAATGTCACTAAGTCATTGGTTGTCAAGTTGATGCCAACTCTCGCAACCTCGTGTACGTCAGACTAGAACTGTGCTCCATAGGGTTTTCTTTTAAATTTTTATTGTGACTTGGGTGAAAGTTTACAGTGCAAATTCACTTTCCATACAACAGCTCACATACGCTTTGTCTCATGACATCGACTGTAATTTTCCACAATGCAACAGCTCCCCTCCCACTTCCTCCCCATAGTTCCTCTTCCCTGTGTCCTCCTGCCCCCTGAGCTGTCTCCCTGTGCATACATAGCCCTTCTATTCTCCCATGATTGATCCCTCCAAGGAATGTATCTACCTAATATAAATGTTCAGCTCATATGCCTGTCTTTTGTTAGGCTGGAAGCCACAGGAGTGGGTTCAATTCCAGACCTGAAGGGCAGCTAAGGGCCCTCATCTCTTGTCAGCTCTACTATACACCTTCTTACGAAATTCTTACAGAACATACAAATACACTTGTAGAAACATTGTCTGCCAATCTCCATAGGGTTTTCAATGGCTGATTTTTCAGAAATAGATTGACGGCTGGCCTTAAACTCCCAAATCTCTTAGTTAGTCTCAGAGGTTCCACCAGGCTCTATCAGATCAGCAAACCTGGTCCCCCACCCCCTTTTTTTTTCCAAATGATTTTGAGTTTTGTTCCACATTGTCTTCCCACTCTATCCAGGATCTCCCAAATAGATCCCCCTCTGAGTGGTTGACATTGGTAGCCAGGCACCATCTAGTTCTTTTGGTCTCATAGTCGTATAGGCTAAGGATTGCATGGTGTACCAGTAGCTTGGACTGATTGTTTCCATGCATCTTTGGTTTTCTTCATTTTTCTTTGCTCTGGATGAGGAGAGACCCATCGTTGTATCTAGATGGCTGCTTGCAAGCTTTTAAGATCCCAGTCACTACTCGCCAAATTAGGATGTGGAAAAATATTTTTGTGTAGTATGTTATGCCAATTGAGCTTGATGTCCCCTGCAACCATGGTCCTGAGCCCATAGGTCCAACTATGCACTCCCTCTGGGTAGCTGGCTGTGGCCAAGAAGTGACTACAACTTCATCTCTTGTCAGCTTTACTATATACTTTCTTACAGAACAATACAAATACACTTGTAGAAACATTGTCTGCCAATCTCGATAGGGTTTTCAATGGCTGATTTTTCAGAAGTAGATTGACGGCTGGCCTTAAACTCCCAAATCTCTTGGTTAGTGGCTGAGTACACTAACTGTGCATCACCAAGGGACACCTGCTAGATTAATGTTGTTGTTAGTTGCCATTAAGTTGATCATGACATGTGGCAACCCCACGTGTATCAGAGCAGAGCTGCTCCGTAAGGTTTTCGTGGCTGGAATCTAACGGAAGCAGAATGCCAGAGCCTTTCTTCCATGGTGCTGGTCTGTGGGGTTGAACAACCAACTTTTAGGTTAGCAGGCTAGCACAACTAGGGACCTTTAGCTAAAGAAATAAACCCAAAAGACAAAACTTACTGCCATCAAGTTGATTCTGACTCAGCAACTGTAGAGGACAGAGTAAAACTGCCCCATAGGGTTTCCAAGGCTGTCAATCGCCTGCCTCATCTTTCTCCCACTGAGCGGCTGGTGGATCCTAACTGCCGACCTTCTAGTTAGCAACCAAAGGCTTTAACCACTGCATCACCAGAGCTCCTGACGTCTTGACTTAGTTCCATGAAACTGGCTTTGGACTTTTGAACTCCAGACTGAGATAGTAAGCATGTCCTGTTTTAAGCCAGCAACTTGGTGGTACTCTGTTACAGAGGCAGTAAGAAAATCTTGTATCACCTAAAAAAGGAGCAAAGTGCAGACTGGGTTTCAGCTCCAAGGGCCCACCCTTGATCAGTGAGCAACCTGCAAAGCATTTCCTTCCTAACATAGCCTTGATGGTTTTCTCATGGCAGATCCTGCTGCCCCGGCTTTTGGAAGGTCATGGGGAGCCAACTGCATTGAACTTGACTGGCCCTGAGGCTTTGAGGGTGAACCTGACTTCAGGGAAGGCAGCTTTGGGGATACATCTGCACTGGAGACCTAGAATCCCACTCACACTCAGCCTGGGCTATGGCTACTACCCTAACAAGACCACCTATGATGCCAAAATTCACCTTCCTCCCACAGCTGATCCAGGTAGGCTACCTGTGCCAGTTTCTTAAGTGGCTTCTGGATTGTGACCAGCTCAAAAAGTGATAATCAGAAGCCATAGGAAGAAACAAAGGGAAACCACTTGCCACATACGGCGGCTTATTTTGGTTGCTATTCTTTGTCAGCATTAAATGAGCACTTACTATGCGCCTTGAAGAAGCTGACAAGCACTGTACAGAGTTGACCTCATGCGATTTTCATGACAACCTCTGGGGAAGGGACTACTGGAAATCTCTAGTTTCCAGAGAAAAACAGTGAGGGTCATTAACTGGCCCAAGGTAACAGAGCCAATACGAGGCAGGATTTGGATCTTTGTCTGCCTGAGTCGGCAGCTCAGACATTGAACACTGACCTGGAAGTGCTTCCTCATCTACACTCATGGTCTCAGAGGGACAGGGTACTCTAGGACATTGAGAACACATCAGGGTCTGCTTCCCTGCCAGGAGGCCTTGGTTCTCCTCTCTCCATCCTGTTAGCGTCCATCCTGATGAAGCTTCAGGCTGACCTGAAATCATCTTTCCTTCAGATGGACTGTCCATGTGGATCCTGAGCCCTGAGGACCTGCATTTTGGAGAAGGTGTCTACTACTTAACTGTGGTCCCCACTGGTGACCTGGAACTGGCAGCTGGCAGGGACCTCACAGTTGGCATCACCACCTTCCTGTCCCATTGTGTGTTCTGGAATGAGGTCCAGGAGACCTGGGACAGCTCTGGGTGCCAGGTGAGGAGAGGGGACCAAAGCAGGACACAGGGTAGCTCAGTCGATGTGCACAGCTCATTCAGCATCTCCTTCGAGTGCCCTGGGCCCCTGGATGGTGCAAACTCTTAACACACTCGGCTGCTAACCTAAAGGCTAGAGGTTTGAGTCCACCCACAGGCTCCTTGGAAGAAAGGCCTGGCAACCTACCCTAAGAACAGCCACTGAAAACCCTGTGCAGCACAATTCTCGAGACACACGGGGTTGCATGAGTCCAAGGAGACTTGGCAGCAACTGCTTTTTGTTTTTGTTTTCCCCAGTGCCTCAGCTGCCCGTCCTGGCTCCTCCACAGGGCCTCTGCAAATCCTGTTCCCAGAACGCACCATCCTCACCTGGCCAGGGTAACTCCATCCTCAGATCTCACCTCAAGCATCCTTCCCAGGAAGAACTGTTCTTAACCACCACCACCTTCCCACCAACTCAGTCAGACTTTCTATTGTAAACATTCAGCACCAACCCCCCCAGACCTGAATGGATTTTACATCTGTATGAGACGGTTTAACCTACATCTTGGTGCACGGTGAACACCCCCAGAGGGCAGGGACAGCACCTCTTTGTTCACTGTTGTTGTTGTTCTGTGCCGACGAGTCGACCAACTCATAGCGACCCCTCCTTGGGTTTCTGAGGCAGTACTGTATGATAAATATAAGTTGTTGTTGTTGTTATGTGCCGTCGAGTCGACCAACTCATAGCGACCTCTCCTTGGGTTTCTGAGGTTGTATCACTACGGAAGTAGATTGCCCAACCTTCCTTCTGAGGAGTGCCTGGTGGGTTTGAACCGCCAGCCTTCTGGTTAGCAGTCAAGTGTCTTAGGCACTACGCTACCATAGTTTCTCTTTGGTCACTAGTGTTAACAAATTATCGTTGAATGAAGGGACAAATGACTCAGGAGGCCTGGGGGATCTGCATGGCCAAGGGAGGCCAGGTGTCATTTCTGAGGAAACAAACTCGTAGCTGAGCTTTTTGTTACACATCAGGTGTTGAGTTCCACTCTTCACTTGCATCATCTTATCAACTCTTCCCAATAACCTTCTGAGGGGATTCAGGTAGAGAGAGAGAGATGCACATATCTGGAGATCACTGAGAAGCCATCAGTCAGTAGACAGGAGCACTGAGGTTGGCTGGAGCACCATCTTTGAAGTCTCTAAATAGCTAAAGAAGGTTCCAAAATCTATGTATGTTGATAGACCCTTAACAGAGAGTACAGGCAGAGGTTTGAGGATACATATTCTTGGGTCTAAATTTTCTCAAAAGATACTAGATGTGCAACTGCTGTCCTAAGGGGACATTAAGTTCTGGTGTTCAAAAGGGATGCTCAGGCTGGAGAAGCAGGGGAAGCCATTGCCCTCAAGGTCTGTGAAAACCCAGGAGGGCACAGAGGTTAGAAATGAACCACGTCTGGTCCTTGGGCTGCCAGTGCCAAGAAGGTCTTGTCCTGGCACCTGCTTGAGCTTCTTCTCTGAACCCAACCCCTCCCGTTCCGGGTGTGCCCAGGTGTTCCAGTAAGCTCCACAGCTGTGCAGCAAAAATGCTGACCAACATTGAGAAACAGGGAGAAAAACAATGGACCAAACACGGAACTAAGGCCCACATGAAGTACATAAAGAAACAGTTGGCATCATGTCCTTGTGGAGGGCTCAGCCCTGTGCTGGGTGGCTTGTTAAGGGGAAAAGGCGAGTCACCACTAAGGCAAGTTTGGGCTGCAGAGGTCCTTCCTCACCAGGTGCGAGGACAGAGAAGAGCTTTTGGAACATGTGTCTTTACCGCCCCCTCCCTGCTCCTTACCCTGGGCACTTACTGGGGCTGAGTCATGTGGTTGAATAAAATCTTCTTTGTCCGCCAAATGGCACTGCAGGGTGACTGTAGCTAGCTGAGGGGTTTCCAGAAAGCCTGACCTTAACCTTGCAGGGTGTGAAGCAAGAGGACACATAGAACTCCCTGCCCTGGCCCATTCCCGTCTCTTCCCTCCCCCAGCCCCACCGTCACACACCATGTGGGACCTCTACACCCTAATCCACATGCCTCTTCTCCCATAGCCACCTCTTGCCACACTTAGTCCAGTGGCACAGCCCACCTTGGAAGGATGAACCTGAGAAACAGATCTGTGTAGGCCCTAGAAGCAGGCAATTCTGAGGTTCAATTCCTGAAATTGTGATCTAAAATTGGGGATCCTAGGTCTGCAAGTAGGGGAAGCTAGTGGGGTGTCTGGGACTCAGAACATAAGGAGGGAGTCATTCCTTACCCTAGTCTCAGCCTTGGATATGAATTCTGGGTGGACACCACCCCTTGACCCCATGATTTTTCATCCTGTGCAGAGGGATGCAGCTAAAGGAAGGCTAGAGTGGAACCCTCAAAGCATGAGCCCAGGGCAGGGGCATTGGATCCAAGGGTGGTCAAAGTCTAGGGAATGCCTTCCTAGGGTTGAGATGCAAGCTGAGGGTTTAAACATTTGTCCTTCTCTACTTCTTCCCATGGTTCCCCAGACTCTTGTCCTTTTGCTCTTTGGTGCAAAGTGGCCAACTGTCCCTGTTTGCCCAGGACTTTCAGATTTAAAAGCAGGAAAGTCCTGGTGAACGAGATATATCAGTCACCCTGGGTGTCCCCTAGCACCAAACCCACTGCTTGGCAAGTAATTAAAACAAACCCACTGCCGTCGAGTTGATTAGACTCATAGAGTCCCTATAGGACAGAGTAGAACTGCCCTGTTAGGGTTCTAAGACCGTAAATCTTTATGGAAGCAAATTGCCCCATCTTTCTCCTGTGGAATGGCCAGTGGGTTTGAACCACCAACCTTCTGGTTAGCAGCCATGTGTTTTAACCACCGGTCCACTGGGAATCACTAGCAAGTAATTAGCATTCAACAAATATTTATCAAATGAATGAGCATCAAGTGGGGGAAGGTACTGGAAAGAGATACAACTAATTTTTATAATAGTGGGGGGGACAAATGACACTTCAATTTTACCAGCAATATTTCTTCTGTAAAATACTAAGCAGTTTGACAAAATGTCCACAGTTGCCCAATGTGGATGATGAGCACAAAGATATTTGTTGCAGATAATGTTCTCTGCACTTTAATTCAATGTTTGATTAAAAATAAACCTCAGGGGAATCCTGAGGCTGGTCTCGCAGCAGTCTCCTCAGCCCCATACCCCAGTATAATGTCCATCCCTCAAAGAGAACATCCTCCTCCTCCCTTGAGCTCAACCCAAGGTGTGCTCCCTGAGCATCTTTACCCAGGGTCTCTTTGGGGGTTGCAGGTGGGACCACGGACCACCCCTTCCCAGACACACTGCCTCTGCAACTACCTCACCTTCTTTGGAAGCACGTTTCTGGTGATGCCCAATGCCATCGACATCTGCCAGACTGCCGAACTCTTTTCCATCTTCGAGGACAACCCCGTTGTCGTGACCACAGTGGGCTGCCTCTGTGCTATCTATGTGCTGGTGGTGATCTGGGCGAGGAGGAAGGATGCTCAGGACCGGGCCAAGGTGAGGTCATGCTGGGCTCCACAAGTGAGAGGGAGAAGCGAGGGGTGTCCCCTTCCAGGGGCTTCTGGTGATGGAGCCCAGGGAGGGAGGCAAGAAGCCAGCTGCTAATTCAGTCCTCAACTCCTGGGGTTGTCTCAGGCAAGCAAGTCTATCAGCCTCTTTTCTGCAAAAGAAAGATTTATTGTGACTATTTCATCAAATTGTCAGGAGGATTCTTATACCAACCGTTGTTTGAGGACTTGCTACCTTCCAGGCATTATTCCATTTAATCATCACAGCAGCCCTGTGGGGAAGGTACTGTGTCAGGAATCCCAGGACCACCTTCAGGGTTAGTGATTCACTAGAAGGACTCACAAAACTCGGAAAAGCTGATACATTCACTCACAGTTACAGTTTATTGCACTGAAAGGATACAGATTAACATCAACAAAAGAAAAAGGCACATAGGTTTGACGCTAGGAGGGACCAGCCATGAGCTTCCCATTGTCCTCTCCCAATGGTGTCACATGAACAGTGCTTAATTTCCCCAGCAACAGTGCATGACAACACATATGAAATACTACCAACATGGAAGCTCACCCAAGCATCTGTGAGCAGGGTTTTTATTGGAGGTCAAGCACTTAGGATAATGCCAGCACCAGGCATTATGACTGACCTTAGCTACTCCGTCTCCAAGGCTCCCTCCAGAGGTCAAATTGAGACAGTGTGGCCCAAGGCTCTCACCATAAATCACATTGTTAGCATAAACTATCTGTGTGGCCCAAGGCCCCAGGTATACAAAGACACTTCTCAGGCAAGATATTGCAAGTGCTTATCTGCACCTTCAGCATCTTTCTATAGTTAGAGGTTATCTTCCAGTAGCCAGTCAAGGGCCAGTCCTTTATGTGGAATGTGTAGGCTTTGAACACCCCAAGCCTGCTGAATCAACCCTGTACTGCACATGACCTTCATCATCTTAGAGAAAAGGCAAATGAGGATCCGAGAGGGTAATTAACAGGCTCAAAGCCACCTATTAAGAGCCAGAATGCATAGCCAGATTTAGCTGACAATAAAACAGGTCTGAGGACAAAAATGAGATCAAATAACAAAAGCAAATTGTTTGCAAAAGTGAAGTTCTACAATCATGGGAGAAGGAAGGGCTGCTTATGCACAGGGAGATAGCTCAGGGTGCAGAAGAGTATGAAGGGATGGACACTGGGAGGAGGTAACTATGGGGAGGAAGTGGGAGGGGAGCTGCTGCATTGTAAATTTTGGTCAATGACATGAGACAAAGTATATGTGAACTGCTGTATGAAAAGTGAATTTACTCTGTAAATCTTCACCCAAATCCTAATAATAATAATAAAAAAAAAGTGAAGTTCTAATTATTTTTCCAATAATTATGCACTATATCTGACCCACAGTAGGCATTCAATAAATATTTGTGAGGGTATGAACGAACAAATGGATCCAAAGTCACACCATTGCAAAGCTCTGAAACTCTCTTCCTGCCCCTCACATACACACACACATTAACACCAACTCAGGATGTTGTTGTTGTTGTTGTTAAGTGCCGTTGAGTCGTTTCCGACTCATAGCGACCCCATGCACAGCAGAATGAAACACTGCCCGATTCCGCGCCAGCCCCACAATCCCTGCTATACTCGAGCCCATCATCGCAGCCACCGTATCAATCCATCTCCTTGAAGGCCTCCCCCTCTTTCGTCGACCCTCCACCCTACCAAGCATGACATCCTTCTCCAGGGAATGGTCCCTTCTGACAACATGACCAAAATAGATGAGACGAAGTCTGGCCATTCTTGCTTCCAAGGAGCATTCTGGCTGCACTTCCCTCAGGATGTTAATGTTGTATAAACATAATAAGATAATAGTTTCTCCTTTTATACTGCTGTTTTTGATTCACCTAAAGGATTAGACATGAATGCATTAAGTGCCTCAATTATAGATTGGTTCCCTGGGAAACAGACTCAGATGGAATTGAACATGTGGGGTGTTTTCAGGGAATATTCTGGGATCAACCCCCCTGGAAGGGGGAAGGAAGCAAGACAAGCAAGGGGAAATTTGAGCTTCGACGCAGGCCAACGACAGCTCAGCTGACCCACAGGGGGATCTGACGTTGTCCCAAGTTGGGTCAAGTTGCCTAAGTCTTGATCATGTGCAGGCACCCATTGATAGGTCATTGAATGTTGGCCACCCAGGAGGGCATGTGACCTTGACCTTGCATCCCTAACAGCGCTGTCCTCTCTGAAGGCTGTCACCAGCAGCACTCCTGGAAACCAAGCCAGCAAGCCCTCCATTGAAGGAAGATGGGCAATGTATTACCGAGTCCACTATAACCCCTGACCAACTCTGGCTGTTTTTCTCAATAAACCCTCTTAATATTTAGTTCCTTTTAAATTGCCTCAGAGACATAATTTGTTTAACAACACTGTGATGAATTATAACAGAATTTGCATGGTTCACCAAATCAAACATTGAATATTCTCAATTTATTACCAATCTCATTTCTAATTCAACTATGTTGGGTCATAATTAATAAACAAAGCATTTTGTACTATTTTTTATTTTATAATTTTTCTTTTACTTGAAACCCTGTTTCAAGTAAAAGCGGTTCTCACCTGATAGAATGAGTGAACTGCAGGTAAACTTGCTTTCGCTCTTTGTCATGAATGCCCGCTCACGTGGGTGCTGCATTGTGATGAACTCACCGAGCAGGACCCTCCTAACACTGTCCTTCCGTGCAGGTTAAGGTCACAATGTTGGAGGACAATGATCCCTTTGCCCAGTACCACTACCTGGTGACAGTCTACACCGGACACCGGCAGGGAGCAGCCACCTCCTCAAAGGTACCTGACCCCACAAGATCCATCAGTTGGGGAGCACATCCCACCCAGAGAAGCCTTTACTAGGCTCCTGTTGAGTTATTTTAGCTTGGTGGATTTTGTGTGCTTGGAATTTTTTTTCTCTTTTTCTCTTTGTTTCTTAGGGGAAAGAATGTTTTATCAAGTAAAATGTCACTCTAAGTTCCAGTATCTTAAAGAGATAAAGGAAGTGTGGGTTAAGAGGGCCTAGCACCCTGCACACTGGATCTCCCTTACCCCCATCAAAGAATAATTTAGACATTGAGTTGGTTATCTGCATGCAAACTTGCTCATATAGGAAGCAGAACATGTGGCTCACAGTCATCCCATGTGAGGAAGGCGGGAGCTGGGGAATCAATCCAACAACTCTCCCGCACCATCATCGTCGGGTGAAGATGGTTTGCAGGGGGCGTTCATTCTCCAGCACTTCGGGCTGGCTGCTCCAGCAGCCAGGAAAAGCCCCCAGGCAGAGCCTCACACGCGGCAGTTGGAAGTTAGTGCAGGAAGCAAGGCAATCTCAGCAACGGGAAGGTGGGGGAAGTAGGTGGAGCACAGATGGTATCTGCTGCAGTTAGGTCTTTCACCCACCAGCATCACCGGGGAGCTTCAGAAAGCACATTCCTAATATTTTTACCTGGTAGGTGGGGCGACCCTGGGAATATGTATTTTCACGGGACACCCTCCCCTCACTTATTAACAGGGACAGGTTCTAAAGACCAGGTTGTTATCTGAAATCAGTGTTATGCAAAAATGGAGGATGACCACATCAGATCACAAAATGGGAGGTGAACTGACAAATGTCATCATTACTGTCAAATTACATAATCATATAACTGCCAAACCACTGAGAATCACGGCCTTGCCAAGTTGACCCAAAACCTTGACTATCACAGGCAGCATTACTCTCACCTCACACCTCACCATTAGTTACTGCCAGACATACGGTGTTAATGTGTGCAATGTCAAATGATACATTTTTTTTACTTTGTTGTAAATGCAAATGTTGGATAACAAGATAGTAGATAAGTGAGCAGAGGGTGGAGTAGGCACTCATTCGTTGATCTCTCAGCATCAGGCACTTTAGAGACACTGGGAATATAATTTCAAGGGGGAAAATGAAAACAATTCCTGTCCTACAGCTCTTAAGGGAGCTCTGGTAGCATAGTGGCTAAGGCACTTGACTGCTAACCAGAAGGCTGGCGGTTCAAACCCACCAGCCACTCCTCGGAAGGAAGGTTGGGCAATCCTACTTCCGTAGTGATACTGCCTCGGAAACCCAAGGAGGGGTCGCTATGAGTCGGGGCTGACTCGACAGCAAATAACAACAACAACAACAACAACAGCAGCAGCTCTTAAAGATAAATTTATGAAAAGTTGAAGAGGTTACTAGAGAACATCTTATGAGTTTAACTCATCTTGAAATGATGAATGCAGAAAGCATCACCCCAAATCTTCATACAGCTGAAAAATAGCTCAGGGGGACAAGGTGGGAGGATAAGGAAGGTGGAGGGCCCTGTCTCAGCAGCAGTGGAGGCCAGTGCCTCTTGGGTACTGCATGGAGTTGGCCACTCGATCTCTGAGTTCCAGGTGACAGTCAGTCTGCATGGCCTGGATGGAGAGAGTGAGCCCCACCACCTGGCAGACCCTGACACCCCAGTGTTTGAGCGAGGAGGAATGGATGTCTTCTTGCTCTCCACCTTGTTCCCCCTCGGGGACCTGCAGAGTCTCAGGCTGTGGCATGACAACTCAGGGGACCAGCCGTCTTGGTGAGTCAGGGTGGGCAACCCAAGAGGACATACTGTGCGCCAGGCCCTGGGCTGACATTTTACATTTGCTGCTTGCCAATCCTCACAAGATTCTTCAAGACACACAGAATCTATTCCCACTTCATAGATGAAGAAACTGAGTCTCAGAGAGGCTCACCAGCCACAGTCCACACAGACTGGACTGATGCTCACAGTAGGACTGGAAGCCTCAGGCCTGGGTCCAGTGAGAGCCCTCCCCTAGGTAGGAACACCAGCCTTTCATTTAGCCCCCAGTCTCCCCATCGGTAAAAGAGGCTAGTAATCCCTGGATGATGCACATGGTTAACATGATCGTACACTAACTGAAAGGTTGGAGGTTCGAGTCTACCCAGAGGCACCACAGAAGAAAGGCCTGGTGATCTACTTCTGAGGAAATCAGCCATTGGCAACCCTAAGGATCACGATGCTATACTGATAGGCATGGGGTCACCGTGAGTTGGGTCAACTCGATGGCAGCTGGTAAGAATGTGGGTAGATACCTACTGTGAAGAGAAACCCTGACTGATAAAATCAAGTCTCACTCATAGGACCCCATGGGACAGAGTTGAACTGCCCAATAGGACTTCCAAGTCTATAAATCATTATGAAAGTAGACTATCTTGTCTTTCTCCCCCAGAACAGCTGGTGAGTTTGAACTGTCAATCTTTTCATTAGTAGCCGAAAGCCTTAGCCACGGCACGAACAGAGCTCCTGAATGAGGAGACAGAAGAGACCAATAAGACACTGGGCTGATTTCCCAGCCGAAAAGGGGAGAACAGCAGCTGCCCTGAGCGTTAGGCTAAGTCTTCCGTGCCTTTTCACATTTGATCCCCACAGCGATCCGGTGGGGCAACTGCTGTTGTCCTCATTTTACAGGTGAGAAAATTCATGCTCAGGGAGACAAGTGACTTGCTCAAGGTCACAGAGCTGGCTAGCTTAGGGCCAAGAATCCACCCCAGTCTGTCTGAGGCCAAACTAGTGACCTAGATCATGGATCCCAGCCTGAATGCCCATCAGCATCAGCTGGGGAGCTTGAGAGAAACACAGATCCCAGGGCTCCATCCCCAGGCTTCTTTCACACTTTCAAGGTTCATCCATATTCTACCCTGAATCAGGACTCCATTCCTTTTTAAGGGTGAATAATGTTCTATTACCAGGAGGGATCATGTTACCCATGTTATGAGGAGTGACCAGTCCCTGGAGAAGTACATCAGGCTTGGAAAAGCAGAGGTTCAGGGAAAAAGAGGAAGACCCTCAAGGAGATGGACTGACACAGTGGCTGCAACAATGGGCTCAAACACAGCAATGACTGTGAGGAAGGTGCAGGACCGGGCAGTGTTTCGTTCTCATATACACTGGGTTGCTATGAGTCAGAGTCAACTCCTAACAACAACAGTATTCCATTGTATGGGTATGCCACCATTGGTTTATCAGGAAGGTCATATTACCTATGGTTTAGACTGCACCTCCCTGACCACCGACCGTTTGGACAGCTTGGCTGTCCCCACCTATGCTAGGATGTTGGCCCTGGCCTTGGTGCCATGCTGAGGAGTGAATAGATTCAATGCATCCTCTTGCAGCCTAATTGTGAAACCCTGGCAACTTCCCTGAGCAGACTCTCTACACTGCTCAAGCTGCCCACATTCACTCACTGATTGGGCCATTTGTGTCAAGAATCAAGAACAATGGGAAACATAAACACACACACATACACACACAAAGTGTCTTTTCCAAGAGCTCTTGTTTGTGAGTTCAGTTTTGTACAGCTGGTACTATCATAGTATCCAAAGACATCTCATCCTCCTACCTTATCCTCAAAGGTGTGGGTCCCTTCTCCAGGTACGTGAGCCGGGTGCTGGTCCATGATCTGGCAATGGATCGGAAGTGGCATTTCCTCTGCAACTCTTGGCTGTCCATCGATGTTGGGGACTGCGTCCTTGACAAGGTATTTCCAGTGGCTAAAGAGCAGGACAGGAAACAATTCAGGTACTGCTTTTTTTTTCTTTTTAAATGCTCTTTATTTGTTCTTTCATCTCTAGGGAGATTTCATCATAATTCATTCACAGCCAAATAAAAGTGCATTTCAGGTGATGGACTGGGCAGGTTTGCACGTGTGACAGTAATCACCAACCAAGATTTCTCATTGGGAAAGAGGGCCCTGGAGGGACCGGACTGTTTTCTGCTGGTGAGGTGTGGGATAGTCATCCATATTGCTTTTGAATGTCACAGAATAATATTTTTTTAATCTCAGAAAACAGACTGATTTGAATGGTTATTCAACATGTGGGTATTTGCGACTCCTTTTCTGTATTGTTTCATCAAGATGTACCTTTCAGCATATGCCTCCCTTTTTTCTACTTACTTTCTGACCCCTTTTCCTGTTGTGCATCCTTCCACGTCTGTCTCCAAACACGTATGTTGCTGTTGTTAGGAGCCGCAAAGTCAGTTTCAATTCATGGCAACTCTGTGTACACCAGAACCAAACAGTGCTGGTCCTGCACCATCCTCACAACCTTCGCTAAGCTTGAGCCCACTGCTACAGCCACTGTGTCATCCCATCTTGTTGAGGGCCTTCTCCTTTCTTGCTGACTCTCCACTCTGTCAAGCATGATACCCTTCTCCAGAGACTGGTCCCTTCTGGCAATGTGACCAAAGTATGTTAGAAGAAGTCTGGCCATTCTCACTTCTAAGGAGCATTTCTGCTGTACTTCTTCCAGGACAGATTTGTTTGTTCTTCAGGCAGTCCGTGGTACTGTCAATATTCTTTGCCAACACCACAATTCAAATGCATCAGTTCTTCATTGGTCTTCCTTATTCAATGTCCAGCTTCCATACGTGTATGAAGCTATTGGAAATATCATGGCTTGGGTCAGGTGCACTTTAGTTTTCAAAGTGACATCTTTGGTCTTTAACACTTGAAACAGGTCTTGGGCAGCAGATTTGCCCAGTGCTCTGCGTCTTCTGATTTCTTGACTGCTGCTTCCATGGGTATTGATTGTAGATCCAAGTAAAATGAAATCTCTGACAACTTCAATCTTTTCTCTAATTATTGTGATGTTGCTTATTGGTCCAGTTGGGAGGATTTTAGTTTTCTTTATGTTGAGGTGTAATGTGCATGTGTGCACATGCACATGCACGCACGTGTACCCACACACACTATAGTTTATTTTATATATTTTTAAATGGCACCCTGCTACACGTGTTACTGTAAATGAACATTCTTCCAGGAAAGTGTGTTGGACTGAGCTATTTCCTCATTCCAAAACCAAACCTAACTCACTGCTATTGAGTCAATTCTAACTTATAGCCACTCCCACTGTAAATCTTTATGGAACCGGACTGCCTCATCTTTCTTGTGGAGTAGCTGATGGGTTCCATAGAATAAATGTTCCACCTTTGATCCAACCATTCTCATGTCAGTGGTCATTCAGGAACTTTCTCAGGTGACTTTTCATCCCAGCTGCTGCTGCCAACAGCTCAACCAGCATGTATGAAAAGGTCTGAATCAGAGACTTGGACCCCAACAGAGGTATAACAGATGTGGACAGAAAGACTATAATGCCCTCACACCTGTTGTTGATCTGCTGCATGGCCTTGGATAAGTTGCTTTACCTCTCCAGACCTCTGCATCTTCATCAAAAAGAAAATGTGTTATTCAATGTCCTTACCCCAAAGGGACTTGTGCGGATTCCATGACATGACATATGAGAAATGTCACTGTGTTTTGCACAGTGCTTGGTCAGATCTAGTGCTCAATCAAAAGAGCACATTTTAACACCCAACTGCCACAAAATGTATAATGCATGGACATTAGACAGGAGCTATCTGAAATCAGGACCATGCCACTCAGCCCACAAATCCCTGTGCTGAGCAGAATGCCTGGTGCACAGTACCAGGCTCAACCAATGCCGGGACACGAAGGGACTGGGTAAATCACTGTTAAGGATTGATAAATCGTTGGCCTCTCTCTTCATGTGCCTTTTTCTAGGTCCACCCCACCCACATACCCAAGGGGGATGGTCAAAGCATTCTGTAACTCTGGCAGGCACTGGCATTCACCAGCCAGGAACACCAGCTCTGTATGTTGTTGTTGTTGTTGTTAAGTGCCGTCGAGTTGTTTCCAACTCATAGTGACCCCATGCACGGCAGAATGAAACACTGCCCGATCCCACACCAGCCCCACAATCCCCGCTATACTTGAGCCCATCATCACAGACACTGTGTCAATCCATCTCGTTGAAGGCCTCCCCCTCTTTCGTCGACCCTCCACCCTACCAAGCATGACATCCTTCTCCAGGGAAGGGTCCCTTCTTACAACATGACCAAAATAGGTGGATATAGGTGAGGAGAGACAACTCAGGGACGCCCAAAGCAGCAGGCCAGAAGAGCAGGAGAAAGGGGATTAAAAGCCAGGAAGCCAGACAGAGGAACAGTCAGCCACAGGGACCCAGGTGGGGGTGATAAGAGAGGTCTCCAACAGCAGGACAAACTTGTCTGTCAGTTTGTCCTGCTGTGGTGACATGTAGACGTGAGTTTTGAGGCTGAGCCTCTGGTGTTTAAAACCCAGTGAAATGCACCTGGTGCACAGGTAACAGCCCAGCTTATAGACTGAGACAGACTAAGAAGAAGGAAGAGGCCGTCCACTTCTCAAAGAATTGGCCAGGAAAAACCTTATGAATAGCAAAGAAACACTGTTTGGTACATTACCAGCTCTGTATACTCTCAGGAAAATCAGGGCCCTACCGTCTGTTTAAGCTTACCCAGGTGCTGTTGGGTCAACTGGGACTCCTGATGCCCCCATGTGGCTCGGAGTAGAACCAGAGGGTTCTCAAGAGCTGGTTTGTCAGAAATAGATCCCCAGGACTTTCTTCTGAGGTGCCTCTGGGTGAACTTGAACCTCTAACCTTAACCATTTGCACCTCCCAGGGACCCCAATAGCATTCTACTCATAGGGAAATAATACAAATTCTTAAGGAGTATGTAGTGCCATTCTCAGATGCTGTTTGCAATTTGTATGCTCTCAGACTATGCCTGAACCCCGAGCCTGGGATTTTAACCACTACTCTCTGAAGCCCCATGTACACAAAACTCAGTATCGTAACTGGTAGCGTTAATTGAACACTCTGCAGGTACCAGCTACTGTGCCAAATGCTTCATAAAAACAATCGCTTTTCATCCTGTCAACTCCCAATGGAGATAGGTCCTGTCATTATTTCCATTTTACAGACAAGGAAACTGAGGCACAAAGAGGAAAGTCACTTGCCTGAGGTCACACAGCTAGTAAGAGAACAGTGTGAGAGTCCTACCCAACTCTGTCCAGAGTCTCCAGAATGAACTCTCAAGGATCCCTCTATGTCTCTACTTCTTCCACAGCAGAAAAATATATAATAAATCTTAGAGAGATTTTCATAATAGATTGCCTCCCTCCCACACCAGGATTGCTCCACAGAGACCACTCTCCCCGTTGCCAGCTCCCTAAATGCCTGTCCTTCTGCCTTGCCTGCCATAGCCATCTGTTTTCCATGAAGTCCTCTGCGGGCTTCCAGGATGGGCACGTTTGGTATTCCATCTTCTGCCGCTCTCCTCGGAGCCCCTTCACGCGTGTCCAGAGGGTGTCCTGCTGCTTCTCCCTGCTCCTCTGCACCATGCTGACCAGCATCATGTTCTGGGGTGTCCCCAAGGACCCAGCTGAGCAAAAGATGGACCTGGGTAATTCCCACCATCACAGTGGCTGGGCTGGTGCTGGTGGGCTAAGCCTTGCTGCCCAGAATGCACCTCCTGGGAGAGTGGCGGGATTGGCTCTTGGTGGCCACCTTTCCCTTAGACCCTCTCTCTGTTTTTTCTGCAGGCAAAATTGAATTCACTTGGCAGGAAGTGATGATTGGGCACGAGAGCTCAATCCTTATGTTCCCCATCAACCTCCTGATCGTTCAGATCTTTAGGAACACCCGTCCTCGGGCCGCCAAGGAGCAGAAGACTGGGAACTGGGGCTGGAGGGGTCCCAGCCTGACCCCCTCCCCACAGCCAGTAGAGGATGGTCTTTTGACCCCTGAAACGGTGACCAAGGCATGTCAACTTCCCTCAGTGCTGGTGGGAGGGAGAGATACAGAAGGTGTTGGGGACAGGGACTGGCAACATCATATTATCGACATCAACTGCTGAGATTCATCAACTAAATCCACATGTGAGGTTTTTAAATACCTACTATGTTCAAAATGAATGGCGCAGGGCTGGGCAGTGTTTCATTCTATTGTATAGAAATTCACTATGAGTCAAAACTGACTCAAGGGCCCCTAACAACAACAATACGTGCAAAATATTACACCCTCATTATAGACTTCCAGGCTGAAAGCACATAGAAAGGATGCGTTCTCCTGAAGTTATGCACTCATTTAGCATTTGTTGAGCACCCACCATATGCCACACTTTGAGGAATACAGCCTGGAATGAGTTCATTGAAATCATGGAAGAGAGAAAATTTCAGAGATGCAACAACAGAAGCTCTGTAGGTCCAACACCATTATCTCAGTGGGCAGAGCTGGGATGTGAACCTCAGTCTGGCACCAGGGCAGATGCTCTTGACCACTATGCTGCACCCCTCACCTGTGGCTCATATGCCTTTAATCTGTCTGGTGTGACTTGCAGGATATGTGCCGACTCATCAGGTCACTGTTTAAAGCTCTCAAAGTACCATCCCCTGCCTTGGGCGGGGACTCAGCAAACCTGACGGACATCAATAAACTTCTGGCCTTGGTGGAAGACGTCATTGGTTCACAGAACATGGCAGGGCAGGTGTTTGGTGAGGAAGCTAAAAAAAGAGAGGACCCTTTAATGACTGCTCTTGGGTCTGCACACATCAAAGGTAAGTCCTGGTGTTTCTGTGCCCCAGGTCAAGAGAAGCAGCATGGTGGAGCCAGATGGACATAAGACTAGAGCCATGTCAGTGTCATTATGGGGTTAAGATGGACCTGGGTCTCCCCCACTGACTTCACTCAAACCACTTGTCATCTCCTTCCAATGCCATGCTGGCTTTCCACTGACAGCCTTCATGCACACTGTAATCTTAGTCTGGAGTGTTCTTTCCACACTCTTTGTCTGGCCAATTCCTACTCAAACTTCAGTCTTGATTTAAGCATCACTTCCTCAAGGGAGCAACCCAGACCCACACAGGGCCCACAAAGGGCCTCTAGCCACATGCCTTTCAGGCCTAAGCTTCTCCCCCATCACATTCTTCCTGCTTGTCACTGTACAATGAGTTGTGTAAAGAGTTGTTTAGTGTCTGCACTCACCTTCCTGTAACATGACTCCCTGAGGTGACACCCACCCATCTGTCCAATCTCCATTATTTCTCTAGTGCCTGGCCCCAGAGCACACATAGAAAGCATACAACAAACATTTGTGGGATGACAAAACAGGATGCCATTATGGGAGGCACCAAGCAGAAAGACATGCTCTTTTGTAGTGTAAAAATGGCAGCAAGAGGATCATTGGCCAGCATGGGAAGTGGGACTACCCTGATGAGCCATCTCTGGATCTAGGTTCTGCCACTAACCATCTGTGTGACCTTGTATAAGTTACTTCAGTTCTCAATGCCTCAGTTTCTTTTTGCTGGAGGATGCAAGGCTGAGTGAGATGTTTCCAAATGTTGCAGGGGTGGCAGGACACAGATGATAGATAGGGCAATAAAAAAAACATTAAAAGAACACTGAGCCACACCATGAAAAACTGAACCTTTTCTCCTTCTAATCAAGGCAGGAGAGACTCTCAGCTTGGTGCCACTGCATCTTTAACACCCCTCTATACTTGTTAAATGGAGCTTTAGTTGTACAGTGGTTAAAGCATCCGGCTGGTAACTAAAAGGTCCACAGTTTGAATCCACCAGCTGCTCTGTGGGAGAATGATGAAGCAGTCTGCTTCTGCAAAGATTTACAGCCTTGGAAACCCCATGGGGCAGTTCTACTCTGTTCTACGTGGTTGCTATGAGTTGGATCAACTTGATGGCAGTGGGTAAACTTGTTAAATTCCCTGTTGGGCAAAGAGATAGATCTCAGACTCAGAGCCTTATGAAACAATATCCAGGTAGAGTTAGTAACACTGTTTTGTTTCATTAAAAATGCATGATGCCATGGGGAGGAAGTGGGAGGGGAGCTGCTGCATTGTAAATTTTGGTCAATGACATGAGACAAAGTATATGTGAACTGCTGTATGAAAAGTGAATTTACTCTGTAAATCTTCACCCAAATCCTAATTAAAAAAAAAAAAAAAAAATGCATGACGCCATATTCTGGTTTGAATATGTCTCCCTGACTCCCCTCTTGCTCCTTTCTGATCCACCTTCCACGCAGATCAGTGCTGCCAAGGTTTAGACCAGCACCACCCAAAGAATGTTCTGCAGCGATGGAAATGTTCCACATCTGTGCTATTCAATATGGCAGCCACTGACCATGTGCATCCAGTGTGACCGAGGAACTCAATCTTTAATCCAATTTAAACAGCTGCCTAGTGGACAGTAGGGCTTGGGAAAGTGCCATGTTACAGCACAAGGCTGGTGACTGTCAACAACCTTGTGCAGAACACAAATAAATGGCCTAGAGAAATAGAATGAGGGGCTTGTTATGAGTCCATACCTCCCAGTTTCACTCTTGATATGTTAGATTAAATTTTCTCTGGTGAGGCCAGCAAACACATTTTTAACAAGTCACTTTGGTGATTTTTATGTGCACTAAATTTTGAGAGGCACTGCCCTCAAGACAAAGTCCCAACTCCTTACAGTAGCCCTCAAGGCCCTCCTGGTCAGGCCCATGGTCTCATCTTTCATCCCACTCCAGGCCCTGTGGTCTTCTCTTTCACCCCACTCTACCTTGACCCCTGGGCTCTAGCTACACTGGACGATTTGCCCAAGCGCTGGGCTTGGGCTGCCCCTAAAGGTCATCCTTGCAGGGGCTCTGCTGATGCCCGCAGTTCACAGGGCTCTGAGTTTCAGAGCTTTAGCGGTCACAGCTGGACACACTGGCAGTGTAGCATAGAGCTTAGGGACAGGGTCTCTGAAGTCTGCTAGACCCTTGGGATTTCACAGCTGCTCAAATTCTCTGAGACTTAATTTCTTCTCCTAGAAGGTGGGGATACTTATGCGCCCAGTCCCTTAGATTGTTGTGACGACTGCATAAGATCAAAATGCTTAGAACAGAGCCTGGCACAAAGCAGGTATTCATAAGTGGTGTCATGATTGGTAAAGATAGCATTTTCTGAAAGCTTTGCCCAAATGCTTGCTACACAAACAGCGTTAATGCTGGAAGTTTCAGTGAGGAAGGAAGGGCCAGGTCAAGAGGGTGTGGGAGGGGGCAAGAGTCAACACTGGCCTTTACCCAGATCCCAACCTCGTCCGTGAGTCACAGAATCCATGGTGAGCCTGGTCTGCAGCCTCCCCACACGTGTTATTTTCTCATTTACTCCTCACTGTACCTGAAGAGAGATAATGGGGCAGAGGGCGGGTGTTCCATTCTGCTATCTCATATATGAGTTTCATGCAACCCTTGTGAAGATGAATACCGGTCCAGAAATGGGCTATTGCCACTGGTACTGATCACCTCCTCTTCACCACATTGGTGAGGGAGGGGATCCCTACCCTAGGGTTATGGGGATGACCAAATACATGACACCCAACACTGGACAGATGAGAATGACAGCAGTTTGTTGGTCACACATACTCACAGCCTTCAGGAAGAGGACATTGCATCAGGGAGTGTACTTGGGACAGAGTAAACTATAAGGAGCTGTTGCAGGCATGTTTTATAGTAACAAGAGGGTGTGGTGACCCCTGGTTCCCACGGGAGGATGTGATCGGTTTGTTTGAAAAATTCTGCAGTCTGGGAGGGAACTAAAGCTCACTAATCGTGGATGAGCAAGCACCATGCCTGGTTCTGTCACACGGAGGGTTGTTTGGTGAGGGAACCTTATCCCCGGGAACATGGTAGGGAGGGAGACTTGCAGTTAGGCCACTCCAGGCCCACCTGGTTTCATACATCAAGGCAGCTCAGGGTCCAGGGACAGATGCCTGATTTTATGTTTAGAGGCCAACTTTCTCTTAAAAGGTACAGAGTAGTGAAAATGTTTCTATTTTCTCTCTTACAATGAGTATAGATTACCTCTGTAATTTAAAACAAAGAAAGGATTAAAAAATATTTTTAAGAAGCTGAAATTTGAACAAACCAATGGCTGAAAAACATTCACAAGATCGGGGAATGGGGCCACTGACTGAAGAGATGATGCTATTAAAGGGTTACTGTTTACTGCTATAAAGACTGTTGTTGTTATGTGCCTTCAAGTCAGCCCTGACTCATAGCGACCCCTCCTTGGGTTTCCCAAGGCAGTATCACTACGGAAGTAGGATTGCCCAACCTTCCTTCCGAGGAGTGGCTGGTGGGTTTGAACCGCCAGCCTTCTGGTTAGCAGTCAAGTGCCTTAGCCACTATGCTACCAGAGCTCCCTGCTATAAAGACTAGTACTAATGTAATAAGGAGTCCTGGTGGCACAATGGTTAAGTGCTTGGCTACTCAAACTCACTGTGATGGTTTTGTTTGTATGTCAACTTGACTAGGCCTTGTTGAGTGGCTGGGCAGCTGGATGTAGTATTGCCCATGATGAGACTGGTAATCAACTTGATGGTGCACTCTACTGGGAGCAGCTGAGTAGCTGCCTTTGGGTATGTGGTCTGCTTCCCATATATAAGGAGAAGCTTTGAGAATGGTCTCTAACCTATGGCACGCTTGGACCCTGCATATAGCCGTGTCGTTGCTCAGCAGCCTGCTATTCTCTGCCAACCTTGGGACTTACAATGGACTTAAGTTAATGGCCTGCCATGTGATCTGGTAACATCAGGACTGTGCCTTTTTACTTGTCAACCTTGGGGCTCCCAGCATCAGCAGCCAGCAGCTGTTTGAGTGAAGAAATGCCTCTAGCTCCAGTTGGCAGGAGCAGGAGGCAGAGCTGGACCCCAAGGTTGAGGGGCTTTCACCCAGCTCCTAGAGCTTGGCACTTTGAACTTGGACTTAAAGCCTCAAAATTGTAAGAATAAACTCCTGTTTGTTAAGGCCATCCCATTTGTGGTGTATTCCTGTCAGAGCGGCACTAGGGAACCAGAACACCCACCCAGCAGGTCTGTGAGAGAAAGAGTTGGAGGTCTGCAAAGATTACAGCCTAGGAAACCCCATGGGGTAGTTCCACTCTGTCACACTGGGTCACTATGAGTAGAAAATCAATCAACTCGATGGCACCTTCAACAACAGTGACATTATGGATATGTTTTTTAAAGAGTCCTTATCTTCTATAGAAACATACTAAAAAATCGATGAAATGACATGAGGTTGGTTTAGAATTTGCTTCAAAATAAGCCACGTGGGGAAGAGAGTGGGATGCAGGTAGAACCCAACTGGCCAGGAGGTGGTAACTGGTGAAGTCATACAACGGGTACATGTGGGTTCACTGCATCACTTTCTCTACGTTTTTGTGTTCGAAACTCTTCATAATAATAATAAAGACAAGCCAGAGTTCAAATTCAGCCCCTACACATTACAGTCTTTGCAGATATGACAGGACTACATCTAGGATTTGCTTTAAAGTCCTCCAGAAAAAAGAAAAAAAAAAAGGTAGTGAGGCAGAGATGAGACAAGAGGTTGGTACTGCCACAGCAGGGTGACAGGTGTATCGGTCTCTTGTCTATGAGTAAGGAAATTTCAGAACTTTCCTTGATGAAGGAGACATATTCAGATCCTCCCTGGCATGTCACTCTCGTGCCTTTCCCGCCCCTCTGAACTTTGGCGTTCTCATGGCTGAGCACATAGTAAGTGCTCAACACACAAAAGCTATTACTACTACAGCTGCTGTTTGGCAGCTGGTCTGCTCTGTTATTCAGCACCAGTTGATGTTCATTTTCTCCTTGTCCCCCCAGAGAAAATGTGGTGCCCCACGCCCCAGGTGTCCCCTGGTGGCCCTCAGAAGGCTAGCTGCTACAGGCAGTGTCTCTACGCCCAGCTGGAGCACATGGAGTGGGCACTGCGGCTGCTGGGGCCCCTCCGTTTCCCCCAGGGCCAGAGTCATGCCCAGGCCCTCAGGCAGCTGCAGACCCTGAAGGGCTGCCTGGGGGTGCAGCCACGCACCGTGGGCCCAGCACACCTCAGGTAACCCACTTCCCTGACTGCCGAGTGGATGCCTGTCCTCCTCAGCCTGGGGCCTGCAGGAGGGATGGGGAGAGGACATCCTGGGCCATCTTGGGAGATGCTCACTCAGAGCTCCCCAGGCAGAGGCAACTCAGGATTCCTGCATCATTTCAGGGAGGAGGTGTTTGAAGCACGGTCCCTGGGTGGTGCAAACCGCTTGTACTGGATGACTAAGCTAAAAGGTGCCCAGTGGTAGCATGGAAGAAAATCCTGGGGATATGGTTCTATTAAAGCTTTTAGCCGAGAACACCCTATTGAACAGTTCTACACCATTACCTGTGGGGGCCATGAGTCAGAACTGACTGGACAGCAACAGCTTTGGTTGGGTTGGTTTATTTGCCAGAAGACAGTTACGGCCCATTGTATAGCAATTTACAGTTTATAACCATCTTTACGTGGGCTGCTTCCTAGCTGGGTGCCCTTGGGTAAATCCCTCAACCTCTCTGAGCCTCTGCTTCCTCAACTGTAAAATGAGATTTTTACATGGTGTCAGTAGCATTTGAATAGAGATTAGTAATCAGAAGATACCAAGTCAGGTATGACAATAACATTGTAACTCAATAAGAAAATGTCCTTCTTTGAGATGTATTCTGAAGTAATTAGGGATGATTTTATATTACATCAAGGAGCCCTGGTGGTGTTGAGGGTAAGGCATTTGGCTGCTAACCTCAAGGTCGGTGGTTCAAGCCCACCAGCTGGCCTGCAGGAGGAAGTAGAGGCAATCTACTTCCGTAAATATTTACAGCCTTGGAAACCCAATGGGGTTTGCGATGGGTCGGAACCGACTTGATGGCAGGGGTTTAATATTATATCTGAGATTTACTTTGTTTAATATTCCAGCAAAAACAAAAAGGGTAGGGATAGATGAAATACAGATGACAAGGCAGTGATGGCTGTTCAAACTGGCTGGGGAGGACATTTTTGCATGACTGGAAATTTTTATAAAAACTTTTTCAAATGACATGGTAGCTGCCTTCTAGGCTCACTGAGGCTCCTCTGAGGGAGCAAGTCTGTGCAAAGCACTTAGCATGTGGCTGGCCCCTAGATGGAGTACGTATGAACCGTTTTTACTCTACAGAATGATTTAGCTCTCCCAGTAGCCCTCTCAGGCACAGGTTTCAAAGGAGAAAACTAAGGGTCTGAGAGGTCAAGGAGCTTGGCCAAGGTCACACAGCTGGTGGGGACAGAGTGTGACTTGAGCCTGTGCCCAGTTGGTTGTACCCTATGTTCACCCTCCTTTGCAGCTCCCCACAAATGAGAAGGACGCCTCGTGGCCTGCCCTGGTGGTGCCTCCTGGTGGGCTGGCTCCTGGTGGCAGCCACCAGTGGTGTGGCCACCTTCTTCACCATGATGTACGGGCTGCACTATGGACGTACCAGCTCCCTCAAGTGGCTCATCTCCATGGCAGTCTCCTTTGTGGAGAGCATGTTCGTCACCCAGCCCCTGAAGGTCAGGTCCCCTCACCCTCTGTAGCTGTTCCCTTCCCCTCCTTTCCCATCAGCCAGCAGCGCTGCCCCTGGTCTTCGGTCACTGGACGAACACGCGCTGAGCACCACCTCTGTGCAGGTGCTGAGGCAGGAGCAACAATGATGATCATCCCAATGATAACCCAAGTCATTGGATACTCACTCTGGGCCAGTGCCTGGGTTTAGTATGTTACAAGATTCTCTCGAGTCAACATCACACAGAGTTATCACTTCTATTTATAGAAAAGAACACCTGAGATCAAGAAGTTAAGGTCACAAACATCTTGCCCTAAGCTGCACGTATAAGTATGAATAATACAATGTCTCCCCAGTTCTAAGATACTTTTGATTGTGAGGCCAGCTAGCAATTTAAAGCAACTTTTCCACAAAAACAACAAGCCATTAAATATGTGCATCAATTAGAAGAAACGACCTTATTTCTGAAATGTAAAATTACGTGAGAGAGCATGTTGGAATCAAAGAAATAACAAGTGTAGGCCTGGAGCCCAGGGGTCCACAGCTTCCCCTGGAAGGAATCGGGCAGAACCATCCTGGGGGGAAGCCCAAGGAAGGAAGAATACTAGGCGGGAGGCAGGGAAAGCTGCAGAAAGGAGAGGGCATTTAAAGGAATCTTGACACCTAGGAGGTGCTGCCAAATCCCCCAGTCAGTCTGCTCTTCGATCCCCCATTCTACCCTCAGCAGGTTTATCACAGACTTAAAAGACTTCTGACATGCCCACCTTTGGGCCAGGCCAAAGTAAGAGCAGGGGGTGTCCTGAGTATTTCTGTTCCCCAAACCACAGACTCAGACTAGGCCTGTGCATACTAGGTGCAGAGATAATGTAATAGAATGAGTCAGGGAGGGAGAGAGAGTAGAAAGGAGAAACAGGAGAAGGGCATAATTGGCCATAGTAGAGATAAGAGCAAGCTGCAGATGGCACAAAGGTTAAGTGCTCAGCTGCTGACCCAGAGGTTGGCAGCTCAAACCCATGTAGCAGCTTCAAGGAAAAAAGACCTGGGAATCTGCTCCTGTAAAGATCACAGACTTACACACCCTGTAGGACAGCTCTACTCCTAACAACAACAACAGAGCAAAGAGAAGGCCTGTGGGAAGAGAAAACAGCACACAGGCAGGTCAGGGGTGTGAAAAAGCAAGGCTAGTTCAAGAGTTTACCAGACTCTGTCTGATTGGTGGCCAGGTGCATGCAAGCCCTGGCCCTCGCTCTTCAGAGCCACCTCCTCCCTGTCTACATGGGTTTCCCACCTGACTTCCCCTGAGCTTGGCTCCTGCACCCAGGGTACAAATGTGGCCCCAATCCACGCCCTCTCTCAACACTGTGTTTGGGGCTTACTGTGGGTGTGTTTTAGGTGCTGGGCTTTGCTGCTTTCTTTGCGCTGGTCTTGAAGAAAGTGGAGGATGAGGAGGAGCCTGTGGTGGCCCTGGAACAACCTCTGTCTCGCCCAGGTAACAGTGCGTCTGGTGGAGTCAGAGCCATGGCCAGCTGGTGGTTCTGGTGAGGCTGAGAGAGCCCCGTGCAGTCCAGCCTCTGCACTGGGCCTTGGCCTCAGCTCCCCAAACCTTTGCTGCCATCAGCCACTTACCCCTGGTTTGTGAATCCCTCCAAAACCATCCAGAAGAAAAGTAACTAAACAGAAAGATCATTGTCCCCCAAGTAACCTAGCTCCTTTCCTCCCCTGGCATCTCTCCCCATACCCAGGCAGCTTTCTCAGCCAGCAGTCACACACTGGGGACCACACTCTGTAACAGCTGTCATTTTCAGTGCAGTCCCCAGCAAGCAGCTTTCTTCTTTGACTCAGGTCCTTGGGCTTTAGGCAAAAATAAATAAACTTGTAGTGGGCTGCAAAAATTTGCTGTTTAGTTAGAGTTCTAGGACAGGGGTTGGCAAACTATGGCCCATAGGCCAAATCTAGCTCCTCATCCCCACCTGTTTTTGTAAATAAAGCTTTACTGGAACACAGCCATGTCCACTCATTTAAGGATTGTCTATGGCTGCTTCATGCTACAACAGCAGAGTTAAGTACTTGGGACAGAGACCATCTGACTGTTACAGGAGGGAAAAATTGCTGACCCCTGTTCTGGTGGGGCAGTGCCTAAGCTATCTGACTACCAGCAGAAGGTTGCCAGTTTAAATCCACCAGCCACTCTGCAGAAGGAAGATGAGGCAATCTACTTCCTTAAAGATGTACCACCTTGGAAACCCAGTGGGGGTTGCTATGAGGCAGAACCGACGTGATGGCAGCGGGTTTGGTTTTCGGTTTTGACCTCTGTTCTAGGATGTCACTGACCAGACCCCTTCTGCCCAATATGATTTCTCACTTCCCCACCTGAACTCCTGAGGATGTCAACAATAAGAGAAAGTCAACAAGTGAATAACACAGAGTCAGCACTGTGATAATCTATGCAGAGACATGATTTTCAGGGAAACATAAAGAAAAACAAATGAAAGCCCAGTCAGAACATCTTTATGCAGTGCAGTGTGGTAGTTTCTCTGGGCCCTGCATTCTTCCGTTTAACCTTCTCAAGACGAAACAGTAATTTTTCTCCAAAGAGACACCAGCTTCCAGAACAATGACATATCCATTCTGGAACTGCTTTGTTGACTATTTAGGGGTGGCTACTGTGTGCAGGCACCGTGCTGCCTGGGGAACATCACTGCCCTCAGAGTAAACAATCCACTTGGGAAGATGACATTATACAAGTAAACACACTACAGACAAGTAAGTGTGAACTATGATCAGAAGACGAGGGGAGAGAACAGCTGAGCACAAAACGTCCCTGCTGATGCGGTAGCTAAGCTTGGGGAAGGGAGGGATTGCATACTGGGCATGTGCAAAGGCCCTGAGGCAGGACAGAGCTTACTGACGGTGTGGCTGGAGCACAGCAAGCTGCAGGAAGAATGGTTCAAGATGATGTTAGAGAGGTGGGTGTGCAGATACACAGAGACAGAAAGATCAGGCAGGGCCTTGCCTTGCAGGGCCTGCTGCAATGCTGGGGTTTGAAAGAGTTTTAAACACGAGAGTGGTACAATCTGTTTTTGCAGTTTTAGAAAGATGCTCTATGAAGCCATGACCTGGGGAGACTGGCAGGGAGGCAACTGTGACGGTCCAGGCAAGAGATGATGGGTGTGGTGGCGGGGGTAGACCCAAAAAAGAGTTGGGCCGCTACAGGCCCATAAGAATGACTAAAGGGAAACACAGTGCTAATGCAAGTGCTGGCGTAGAGGCGGAGAAACTAGATAACTCAGGCATTGCTGGTAGGAAAGTAAAACTGTTCAAGTACTCTGGAAAGGAGTTTAGCAATTTCTTTTAAAAGTAAAAATGGACTTACGATATGACAGAGAATATGCACTTATGGACATTTATCCCAGAGAAATACTTATTTTCATGTAGGAACTTGAACGTTCATAGCAGCTTTATTTGTAATAATAATAATAATAATAATAATAAAACAAACTCACTGCCGTTGAGTTGATTGCAACTCATAGAGACCCCTCCTTGGGTTTCTGAGGTGGTATCACTATGGAAGTAGTTTGCCCAACCTTACTTCCGAGGAGTGGCTGGTGGGTTTGAACCGCCAGGCTTCTGGTTAGCAGTCAAATGCCTTAGGCACTACCACCAGAACTCCCTTATTTGTAATAGCCAAAAGATATTTGGACACTCTTAAGTATCTACCCAAGAGATATGAAAACATAAGTGCACACAAAGATGTGCACTGAACTTCCATAGCAGCCTCATTCCTAATGGCCCAAACTAGAATACATCCAAATGTCCATCAACTGGTGAACAGATAAAGTATGGTATACCCACACATGGACTATTACTCAGCAGTAAAAAGAATAAAATGCTGATACATACAACAATATGGATGAGTCCCAACACGTTATGCTAAGTGAAAGAAGCCAGAAACATATGTACAGAGACTATATACTGTTCGAACCCATTTCTATGAAATATCCATAAAAGGCCGATCTTTAGACACAGGAAGCAGATTTGTGATTGCCTGGGGCTGGAAGCAGAAGTGGCAGTAGGGGCTGACTTCAAATGGCAAGAGGGAAACTTTTGGGGTGATAAAAAATATTCTAAAACTGGATTGTGCTAATGGTTGCACATGTCTATAAATTTACCAAACTCTTTAGTTACACTTACAGTGAGTGAATGTTATGTAACCTATACTCACCAAAGTGGTTTGAAAAAGAAGATACCTGGGGGGAGACATGACAAGACACACAGATAGTAGTTATCCTCATCTTTACTCATCAACGTTTCAGAAGTAATGGGGCCACTTCAGAGTCCAGGGGCCACAGAGAAGGCTGTATGCAGGAGTCGGGGGAAACTTCAAGGAGTGGAGGGCATCTGTGCTTCAGTCTGAGGAGGATTCTCCAAATGGAAAAGGTGTAACAGGATCCCAGGCATTGAGATCATATGGGCAACGGCACGAGGGTAGACTTGGGAAATGGCTCCCAAGGAGGAGGAATGGCAGAGCCTATTGTAACTGAAGAAGGAGATACTGTCTAGTAACCAAAGTAGACCACCCATTTGGGGACTGTCCTTGTGGCCTTGTTTTCACAGATCCCTATGCCTTGTTCCAAGCACGAAGAAACAGCAGACAGGGTATCTATCAGCCACCCCTTGCCGTCGATGTTGAGAAGATGAAAATCACCTGCCTCAAGGAACAGAAAGCATTTGCCCTAATCATAGAAATCGTGGGTAAGCAGCTTATGGGTGATATTCCAACTCCCTGGTTCTTAGACTTGGGCAATGACTTAAGATGCAATCTGTGATGAGTCCCTCACTGCTCTGGGCCTCAGTTTCCTTAGCTGTCCACTTGCCCCAGCTTCTCCCCTACACTTAAAACCCTGCAGTGGCTCCTTGTGGCCCTTAGGATGGTCTAAGCTCCTTACCATAGCTCCACCCACCTCAGGATGTTTCTGGACTGCTGTGCTCTGAGGTTGGTCATTGGGACTCCACAGCACTTAGGACACTGTGCCCTCTCCTGGCGACCGGCCTTAGCCCAAAATGTTCATCTCATCTGCCTCGAATGTGTTCACCCCTCCTCCCCACCTTCTCTTCTGGCTAATGTCCTCTTGTTCCTGAAATCTCAGCCCAAAAATCTTATTCTCTGAAATCCCTGATCCAAATCTCTCAGGGTCAGAGAGGTTTCCCCTGACCATCTGGCCAGGATGTTTCATATAGAAGTGTGGGTTCCAGGCTGCATCTCCCCAGAAACAGATTTGGATGCAAGTAGTTTACTCAGGAGGTGATTCCAGGAAGCCCAGAGAGTAAGTGGGGAAAAGCAGCAGGGAAGAGAAGGAATAACAGGTGTCTTTACTGGTGGCTGCATTGTGGGTGAATGGGGTGCAGTCCTGCTAGGTACTGCCAGGAGAATGTGTAGTCCATGCCTCTGACTGTCCTACCAGGGGCGTGAGAAAGCTGGGTATTCACCACCAGCCCACTGGAGGAGGGTGCGTGGGGGGCACTGGCTGTGCAGCACACCTCCCCTGTCCCACCTGAGCACGCTCCTGTGGCCAGAGCCAGTCTCAAGCAGAATCCAGGGCACTTGCAGCAGAAGGAAATAGCACTTGTGTGAATGATGAGTGCCAAATGTCAAAGAGATGTGGGTAGAGTCCCATAGCACCTACTATGGTGTCCATCCATTTGGCTTTGGAACACAGATTCCCATAGCCGGGCCCAAAGATTCTATTCTGTAGGAATCTGCACCCCCACGTGATTCTTCCGCTGGGGCTCCTGAACTAAATCTCTGCACTTCATCACGTGCCCTTTACACCAGACTTGCTTATTTTGCAAAAGACAGGTCAGCTCCATGAGGCAGGGAATGATTCTGTCTTCTTCACTGCTGTATCCTCAGCATTGGAATGCAACAGAGTTCCCATTTTTTAAAAAATTCGACTTAATATTTGCGTAGTATGTACTTTGTGTAAGCACTGTTTTAGCAGCTTTATTCATTGACCTCTCATCACAACCCCATGTAATAGAATTATTGTCTCCACTTTATAGATGAGCAAAGTGAGGCATGGAGAAAGTAGATAGGAAATGGCAGAGCTGAGAACTGAACTGAGCCCAGGCAGGAAGCTCCATGGTCTGTGGACTTGACTCCACTCTGCTGCCTCTACAAGGATTAGTTCCATCGTCACCGGAGGGCATATCTGAGGGTTCTATAGAGAAGAGGGCGCACGTGCGCTCGCGTGCGCGCACACACACACACACACATATGTACATCTATAGAAAGATTTATTTTTAAGGAATTGGCTCATGCGACTGTGGGGGTTGACAAGCCCAAAGTCTTTAGGTCAGGTGACAAGCTGGAGTGAAGAGTTCTGGCAGCATATCTCTTTAGAGTCTGGGGGCAGAAGACACTCTATGGAAAACTCCCTTTGCCTGGATGAGGTCCACACACATAATGGAAGGGAATTTGCTTTACTTAAGGCCAACTAATTTAATCACATATAACTACTTCATAATAGGAACTAGACCAGTGTTTTACCAAATAATTGGGCACCATAGCCCAGCCAAGTTGACACAAAATTAACCACCACAGGGGGCAAGTGGCTGGTCTACCAAATCTTGACTGTCCTGAGCCCATGGCCATTCCATTTCCTGCCCTGGACTTATAGCCTTGGTAGGACTTGAGGATGTTGCCTGACCAGGCTGTGCCTCCCTTCCCAGTGTATCTGGGTTTCCTGTGGATGCTGCTACTGGTGGCCTATGGACAGAGGGACCCCAGTGCCTACTACTTTAACAGACACCTTCAGCACAGCTTCACCCAAGGCTTTCCAGCCGTGTCGAGCTTCCGGGACTTCTTCACATGGGCCAACACCACCCTTGTAAGCAACCTGTATAGTCACCACTCAGGTAAGTTCCCTCTCTTTCATTCTAGGAACTGGTGTGTGTCATTGTCAACAACAGTCTGATAAGTAAACCAGTAACCTCAGAACCATGCTTTGAAGGAGAGACTCTCAAGAGGCTATGCACATTCAAGGGAGGGACCCTGCATTGAGAGGGGAGGACCTCCTAAACAGGGGATAACTGAGCATGAATCAGCCAAACAAAAGCAGACCGCCACGAGAAATAACAACGTGAGAAAAGGCAAGGAGGCCAAGATGCCATGGCAGGTTCATGAACTACAAAGAGCTGAGTCTGGCTGCTGTGGTGGGTGGGAGTCAAGGACTGGGGAGAAACAAAGCTAGAGAGACACAGGGGGACCGTATCATGAAGGACCTTCGAAGTTCACAGTTCACCCTCAAGGAAATGAGGAACCACTTGGGGTTTCTATATGAGGGAGTAACATAATCAAATCTATGCTGTAAAAAGGATCTCTCTGGAAGCATGTAGACTTTGGAGTAGAGGTTGGGTGTCTTAGTTATCTGGTGTTGATATAACAGAAATATCACAAGCGGGTGGCTTTAACAAACAGAAATTTATTTTCTCACAGTTCGGGAGGCTACAAGTCTGAATTCAGGGCACTAGCTCTGGGGGAAGGCATTCCCCAGTTTTCTGTTAGCTTTTGGGGAAGTTCCTTGTCTCTTTTCAGCATCCGCCAGCCTGGCATTTCTTGCCTCCTTGGTCATCTTCATGTGGCATGACATCTACCCTTCAATGTACTGCTTTTCATATTTCAAAAGAGATTTACACAAGACATACCCTGTACCAATATTGTCTCATTAACCTAACAAAGAAAACCCTATTCCCAACTGGTATTACGATCACAGGTATAGTAGGATTTACACCACGTATTTTGGGGGGACACAATTCAGTCTACAACAGTGGGCAAGTTAGAATGCTTAGAAAAATAATGGGGCTGATCCAGGCATGAGGGGCACTGGTGAAGGAGAGAAGAGGGGCATAAAATACTGACAAGGAAGAACTGGTAGGACCTGGTGACCACTTGGATGTGGGAAATAAAGGGCAAAGGGCACAGGTGATCTTGAGGTTGACAACTGGGTGGCTGGGGTGCCACTGACCTAGACAAGTTATACAGGAAGTAGAACAGACCCCAGGTAGGGCAACAGTGAGGTCATTTGGATAAATGTAGTCCAAGGTTAGCCATAAACTCCTCTTGGCTGCCTCTGTAAAAGGAACACTGAAGTTCCCATCAGCAGAGAACTTGGCATGCCTAAAGATGATGTTGATTGCTAGTGTTACCCACCTGGTTTTCATCTTTAGGCTTTATCACCGATGGGAACTCCAAGCTGGTTGGCAGTGTGCCCGGATGCACCAAGTGAGAGTCCAGGAAAGCTCTTGCCCTCTAGCTGAGCAGCTGCAGGCATCTTTTGATGGCTGCCAGGTGCCATATTCCCTGGATGTTGAAGACCTGTCAGACTATGGGGAAGGCTGGAATGCCTCCATCCTCAATAGCAGCAGTGGCTTTCCCCAGGCTTGGCAGTACCAGACCCAGCACCAATGCCGAGGGTATCCCATCTGGGGCAAACTCACTGTGTATGGGGGAGGAGGCTACACAGTCCCCTTGGGGACTGATCGCCAAAGTGCTTTAAGGTAAGGTTGACTTGATTCGTTGGCAGCAGAATAAAACTATTTGGGAGGTCCAGGTCTGATCACAGGGTGTCATCTCCACAACAGGGCTGAGCCAAGCTTATTCAGGTCACTATGGGATACTGGGAGATTCAGAGGCATCCAGATATATTTTCAAGCCTCTGGAAACTGCAGCGTTTTCAGAGGGAAGGGAAGTCTTCTTTAGCATTCATCTTGGTGGCTGTTCAGCTTCTGCTGGAGCCAGTCCAAGAATAGAGAGCTCACTATCACACAAAGCAGCCCAATACCAGGCAGGAGGACAGTGGTCAAGGCTCTGAGCATCTGAGATTTTACCTTCTTGTAAGCTAACAAGTTATCCTGTTACCATTTCATGGGTAAGAAGACTCCTGGGTCAGAGACAAAGGACTTTAGCACTCACAGCAAAGTCAGTAGCCAGAGCTGCCAGTTGGTCTTCACCAGTTCCCCACAAAGAGCCTTGACAGAGATCTGCGCATACAGTGGTCTGCATTACAGGAAAGGAACCCCGAGCTTATGGGAGTCACTGCTTTTAGTGAGTAGGAGGCCTGCTCTTTGTTCCCAGCCTCCCTCCACGTTGCTCACCACAAGCACAACCCTGAGGAATGTCCTACCTAAAAAGCAGCCAGGGCTTTGTGTCCTTGGCCTACTCAGCAAGAATGTGAATGGACACTGGGGCCCCTGGGGGACTCCCTCTCCCAGCAGCCTCTAGAGTCAGAGGGCTCTGGGTTTCTGGATTTTAAACCCTGACACTGCTCTTTTGAACTATGTACGCCAAGCCAGCTAGTGAACCCCTTGGAACCTCTGTTTCCTCCACTGTATTACAACAGAGTTGTTTGTAGTGGTAGGGCTGCTACCCTGCCTAGGAACACAGGCAATAATCCTCAAAGAATAGCACCTGGCAGGGTGCACTGAGGTTAACAACATGCCAGGAATGGCCTGAAAAACTCTATTTAAGACTAAGATTTTCCTGTTGCTTGGAAAGATTGAAAGTACTCTGTCTGCTCTGTATACCAGGCATGATGCAGACCCACTGGTAACGGGGCATATTTTAAAATAGGCCCGTCATTACTCTGAGTAATAATACACCAAATGACTCAGAAATCCCACTCCTAGTATATACCCAAGAGAAATGAAGATGTATGTCCACGCAAAAACTTGTACATAAATGTTCACAGCAGTATTACTCCAAATAGCCAAAAAATAGGAACAATCCAAATGTCCATCAACTGATGGATGGATGAATAAAGTGTAGTATAACCATACAAAGGAACACTGTAAAAACAAAAACAAAACAACTCATTGCCATCGAGTTCACTCTGATGCACAGCAACCCTATAGGACAGAGCAGAACTGCCCCACAGGGTTCCCAAGGCTGGAAATCTTCATAGAAGCAAGCTGCCACATCTTTCTCCCACAGAGTGGCTGGTGGCTTTGAACTGCTGACTTTTTGGTTAGCAGCTGAGCATTTAACCTCTGCACTACCAGGGTTCCTTAAGGGAACATTACTCAGCCATAAAAGGAATGAAGTACAGTGCTACAGTGTGAATGGACCTTGGAGACATTATGCTTAGCGAAAGAAGCCAGACACAAAGGATCACATATTGGATGATGCCACTTGCATGACATGTCCAGGGTAGGCAAATCCATAGAGACAGAGAGTAGATTAGTGGTTGCCAGGGCCTTCAGGGAGGAGGGAAGGGGGAATAAACACTAACCAGTATGGAGTTTCTTTTTGGGACAAAAGTGTTCTGGGATTAGACAGTATTGATGATTACACAATCTTGTAATTATATTAAAAATCACTATATTATATATACCCTTTAAAATGGTTAATTTTATGACATATGCATTGAATCTCAATTTAAAAAATCTAATTATAGTGAAATACTATTTGACTCTCCTTCTCATACCTAAGCAGCTCTGGTGGCACATTTGCTTAAGGCATTTGGCTGCTAACTGAAAGGTTGGTGGTTTGAACCCACCAGCTGCTCTGCGGGAGAAAGATGAGGTAGTCTGCTTCCATAAAGATTTACAGCCTTGGAAACCCTACAGAGGTTCTATGAGTCAGAATTGACTCAACCGAGTGGGGGTGGGTTTTCATACATGTTTGACAGCCTCTTCTAATTTATATGAAGGTAATTATTAAATTTTTTTCTTTTTTCTTTTTTTTATTAGGATTTGGGTGAAGATTTACAGAGTAAATTCACTTTTCATACAACAGTTCACATATACTTTGTCTCATGTCATTGACCAAAATTTACAATGCAGCAGCTCCCCTCCCACTTCCTCCCTATAGTTAACCTCCTCCCAGTG